CAATTGTCTATGCTTTGTTCCTGGAGAAGGATCCTGTGTGTCCTGGGCTGGTTATATGATATATCTACTCCGAATATGCTCAGGAATAGACTCCCTACAGTCCTTGAGGTCCAGCTTTACAGGGAAAAACCCCCAGCGGGTGAACCACCAGAAGAGGGGGAGGTACACTATACAATAAAGGATTACCCTATGGTCCTGAGCTCCTGATACATTGTTTCTATTGTTGAATAGATGATTGAGATATAATTCCAAAGTCTGTTCACCTAGAAATGAACACATAGGAACATATTTTGTATTTTTATGTATATATGCAATATCCATTTAAGCACCAAGTCTCAACTACTGATTACCAAGTCCCGACACTTGATAGTTGATAGTCAGTATTTGAGCTCCGAGTGCCAATATTGCCTACCAATATCTCAGTCAAATAATAACCAAACCAAGACCCAAGTTCCAAACCTGACTACCGAATACCAAATATCAGTACTCGGGACTCGGGACTATTGGCTGGAGTACCCAACTATTGATTCCCAGGTACCGAGAATTAGAACCAAGTACCAAGTACCTGACTACTGATTCTCGGGTACCAAGTATCAGAACCAAGTACCAAGTACCCGACTACTGATTTGAAGTACCGGGTTTCGGGTTTCGGCACTCGACACTTGGTGATTTGTGCAATGAGTAGATGGGCATGTGGCATACATGTTTTTGGGCTTCGGGTTTTAGGATTCTGCCCTTGGCACTCAATGATCTGTGTAATGTAAATGAATAATGAACATGTTGCACACTGGGTTTCGAGTTTCGGGTTTCAGCACTTGAAACTCGGTGATTTGTGCAACAAGTGAAAAATGGAAATGTTGCATACATATTTTCAGGTCTCGGGGTTCGGGTTTCGGCCCTCGGCACTCGGAACTCAATGAATTGTGTAATGTACATGAAAAATGGACATGTTGCACACTGGGTTTCAAGTTTCACGCTTTGGCACTCGAAACTCGGTGATTTGTGCAGTGAGTGAAAAATGGACATGTTGTGTACATATTTTCAGGTCTCAGGCTTTGGGTCTCAGCCCTCGGCACTCGGAACTCGATGATTTGTGTGATATAAATGAAAAATCAACATGTTGCACACTGGGTTTCAAGTTTCACGCTTTGGCAGAACTCGAAGTTGTTGATTTAGATATCACCCAAAACCTGAACACCCGAATGTCAAATTTTCAGTGCCGAACCCCCAACCCTGACTGCCGGGTGCTGAGTCCCGAAGTCCGGAACTCAGGATTTGACATTTGAGATGAACAAAATTTTTCAGACATGTTTGAATTAATCTACGTATATCTATAAACATTTCACTAACCCCTGAACCCTGAAAGATATTTTTGTTGTCTTACATACCAAATTCCGAGTTCCGAGTTCCGGGACCCCGGACCCCCGAAACCCGGCAGTCCACAATTTCGGAGTTCGGGGGTTGGTAAAATGTGTATGGATATATGAAGGGTTGGTTTAAACATTTTAAAAGATGTCTCATATCAAATGTCAAGTCCCAAGTTTCGATTTCCGGGTTTCAAGAGTGCTGAGTCCCGAAGCCCGGAGTCCCGAAACCCGGAGTCCTGAAACCCGGAAATCAAAACTCGGGACTTGACATTTGATATGAGACATCTTTCAGAAATGTTTCAATCAACCTTTCATATATCCATGCACATTTTACCAACCCCTGAACCCCGAAATTGTGGACTGCCAGGTCTCGGGGTTCGGGGGTCCCGGAACTCGGAACTCGGGAAATTTGGGGAGATCAATAAAATTTGATTTACCCATGTTGAAAATATATTTTTGTTCTACATACCGAGTTCCGAGTTCCGGACCCCCGAACACCGAGACCTGGCAGTCTCGGGGTTCGGGGGTCCCGGCACTCGGAACTTGGGGAGATTTGGGGAGATCAATAAAATTTGATTTACAATTGAGTTGATTGGCAAACACATTGACTTACCCATGTTTGAAATATATTTTTGTTTACACATACTGAGTTCCGAGTTCCGGGTTCCGGACCTCCGAACCCTGAAACCCGAGACCCGGCAGTCCACAATTCTGGGGTTCGGGGGTTGGTAAAATGTGTATGAATATATGAAAGGTTGAATGAAACATTTTTGAAAGATGTCTCATATCAAATGTCAAATCCCGAGTTTCAACTTCTGGATTTTGGGAGTGCCGAGTCCCGAAACCTGGAGTCTTGAAACCCGAAATTTGAAACTCGGGACTTAACATTTGATATGAGACATCTTTCAAAAATGTTTCATTCAACCTTTCATATATTCATACACATTTTGCCAACCCCTGAACCCCAGAATTGTGGACTGCTGGGTCTCGGGTTTTGGGGTTGGGGGGTCCAGAACTCAGAACTCAGTATGTGTAAACAAAAATATATTTCAAACATGGGTAAGTCAATGTGTTTGTCAATCAACTCAATTATGAATCAAATTGTATTGATCTCCCCAAATTTCCCCCGAGTTCCGAGTTCCGGACACCCGATACCCGAGACTCAAATTGTATTGATCTCCCCAAATTTTCCCAAGTTCCAAGTTCCGGACACCCGACACCCGACACCCGACACCCGGCAGTCTCGGGTATCGGGTGTCCGGAACTCGGAACTCGGGGGAAATTTGGGGAGATCAATACAATTTAATTTACAATCGAGTTAATTGACAACACATTGACTTAATCATGTTTGCAATATATTTTTGTTTAGACATACCGAGTTCCGAGTTCCGGACACCCGACACCCGAAACCCGGCAGTCTCGGGTCTCGGGTATCGGGTGTCCGGAACTCGGAACTCGGTATGTCTAAACAAAAATATATTGCAAACATGGGTAAGTCAATGTGTTGTCAATCAACTCGATTGTAAATTAAATTGTATTGATCTCCCCAAATTCTCCCAAGTTCCGAGTTCCGGACACCCGATACCTGAGACCCGGCAGTCTCAGGTTTCGGGTTTCAGGGGTTGGTACATCTCGGTTTGGGGTTTGGCACTGAAAATTTGACATATATATTTTTGTGAGTGTTGTGCTTCTGGTGTCCATGCTTAGAAATAGGATTTGTTGCACACCAGGGTTCAGGTGTGGGGTTTTTCCACTTCAGTCCTGGATTATTGGTCAATGCCACACATGATCGATTCATGTTTTTGTGCTTAGGGGTTTAGATTTGGTGGTTGATGGTAGGTATATGCACTCATAGTGTACATGTATCCTATGTGTTTGATTCGCTGGTGGCTACATCAGCTGTATGTCTTGATGGAACATATCTAGGCTCACCCATATATGTAATACACCCCCGACGGCCCGCCCATCTATGTATTATCCCCCACGTCAGCCAACCCATCTATGTAATACATCCTATGTTGGCCCACCCGTCTATATAATACATCCTGCATCGGCCCACCCGTCTATATAATTATACCCCACCTCGGCCCACCTGTCTATGTAATAAATATTTTATAGCACCCTCGGCCCACCGGTCTATTTGATATCCCTTTCGTCGGCCCACCCGTATATGTAATACATTCCATGTCGGCCCACCTGTATATGTAATACACCCTACGTCAGCCCACCCGTCTATGTAATATTTCCCTACCTCGGCCCACCCATATATGTAATACACCCACGTCGGCCCGCCCGTCTATATAACAATATTTGCCTTACATCTCTCTTCAGCCCAGCTGTCTATAATATCCTACTCTACATATTACCCAGATGGGCCCACCCATCTCCATGAATGATCATATTCCCCCGGCCCATCCGTCAACATTAAGGATATATATATCATTGGCATACATGGGCCCACCCGTCTCCATCGGAAATAATATGTGTCCCGGCCCATCCGTCATCATCGAGAATATACACAACATGGGCCCATGATCAGCTGGCCCGTCTCATACGGGATATTATGGAGGTCGGGTGGCCCGTATAATACGGAATTTGTCACTGAAGGGGCTCTAGAATCTACCTCGTGTATTGCGAACGGGTTGGTGGGTAACCCAACCAATAGATACCCCCCATAAATCAATTTTCCCAGCTTGATTGGGCTTTCCCAAGGCGAGTTCGGCAACAGAATTTTCAGCGACTTCTTCTGGCATGCATCAAGCAGATCTTCTTTCGATGCCTGTCTCCAATGGAGCTCTTCATGGATATGAACAGCAGGCTGATGATCGGCGAAGATCATGGCATCAGATTGGCCATTATCATCCTCTGAAGGTGTGTGCACGACATCTGAAGATGTGGCGGTGGGATCTGGTGTCATAGTTTCATAGTCGAATTCTATAGGCTGGTGGAACAGCGAATTAGAGAACGTCGATGGAGAGAATAAGTCCAGGTCTTTCCATGATAGTGGTAAGGGAAGGTCGATGGGGGTGAGAGGGGCAGGAGGTGGGAACCCGTCTGCGAACGTTGCCAGGTGGAATGGAATCCCACGTAGCTCATCGAGCTATAGTTGCGGTATAATCTATCACCCGGCCCCCAAAACTCTGCATCCAGATTGTCAGGATCATCCAGAGCCTGACTCGTGTCAAATAAATCTGTGGGGAAATTGTCATGACCTGCTGGGAAGTTATCGTGACCTGCAAGGAAATCGTTATGCGGTTCTTCAGGCTCATCTTCAACTGTGGCAGTATGCAAGACCCTGGTGGGAGAAGCTGGTTGGAATATTGAGTGCAAAACATTCCAGTGCTTTTTACACCCTGCCTGAGTCTTGAAGTGGCGTTCACAGTGCAGGTAACCACATGGAATCTGGAGGGCACTGTGGTCTCTGCGAGTACCCATAAGAATCTTAGCTGTAGAAATTGAGAAAGAGGATAGTGACCAAAGCGTAATCCTAAGTTTGATATGCTAAGTAACAAGGTCTGATTAGTGTGTTGATGCTTGTTTGGGGGGGGCTTACGAGTTTTCAAACCCACTTTGCTATTTTCTCACTCCAGCAAAGTATTATCCTTCCCAAGTTGTAACCTCATTTCCTCAGTCATGTCTACCGTAAATGCTCCCTGTTGCACCCGTCTGTCAAATGCAACCACCCAGCCTGGCCAGATAGTGCTCGATGCACAGGTCAAGAGGCGTACCAAGGCGCAAAAGAATGCTGATGACCTTGCCCTCAAGGAAGCAAAGGAAGCACAGACCCAAAAGGGACTGGAGCGCCTGGCCGGTATGCAAAATGAGATGGAACAGGCGCAGGAGGAATTACTCACCAAAAAAACGGCTCCCGTTCAGCCTAAGCCAAGGGCTCATAAGGTGACAAAGCTTGTAGTAGGGAATGGTAATAATCATACTGGCAGCCTAATGGATGCTGATGAGGCAGACAGCCACCAGGAGGCTGTCAAGAACATGGGGGATGAAACTGCAGGAGCAAAGAAGAGGGTAATGAAGAAAGGTGGAAAGCCATTGATAAGGGACGCTATCAGCAACATGCAAGGCAAGATCAGCGAAGCATCATCGAAAGTGGAAGGTGATAATGCCATGACACGTGTATCTGATGGGAAAGATGCACCAACACCACAGTAAGGCTTCCTTCTCTCACCATCCTTGATGTTGCTCCTCACTGAATCAACATTGTATTTTCTCAATCTTGCTTTAAGTATCAATGCGAGCACCCAGAAAATTGCTTTAGGTGGGCGGATGTCCAGCTGTGTTTCACGTATCAAAAAATCAGAGTCAAGGTCACAGCGGGCACCCACTGGCAGCACTTCAACTCAAGCGCCTCCAACAACAATTTTCTCACAAGGCACTGCCTCCACTATGGCGACTTCTGATCTACAGGTCCCAATTCGGAAGCCTGTGGCGAATGCTCAAATTCCAGATGCAGAAGTCCTTATTGGAAGCTTTGCAGATGACATCGACGATACATTGGAGTGTGAGGCTACTATTGCACAAAGCAAAGGGAAATCCAAAGTAATCAGCCATCATTAATCATCAGTATCAGTATCCACTAATTTGCTTCACAGGTTGCCTCCATCTTTGATGACAACTCGGTGTAGGGATTCATTTCTGGTTGGGCTTGTAGAGACTGTTTTTACCTTACCTTATGTTGGCACTTTTGTAGCTTACATAATCAAGCAATCTTTTCACCAGTTACCAGTATGAGTCTGAGAGATCAGCAAGTTTTTATGGTATTTCCTCTCCTCTGAGCCTTGAGCCTGGTCCAGAAACCCTTTAGGGTCGAATAGCAGCTAGGTTCTGCAAGACCCAACACATTGTTCAGACTCACCATCTGAATTGTTGTACCTTCATCGGACTTTGACGAGCCCATAGCTCCAGTAGCATGAGTCAGATGATTATCTTGCGACTTCGTCCGTAGAATGCGAACAGTACTCACTTGAGCCTAAGGCTCCATTTACACAGGTGGACAACCCTCTCAAGCAGAAAGCTTGTGTGGATGAGCTCATAAATGACAACAAGGAGTCTATTGTGTCCGAGTGGTCCATGGACATTGAAGGCCCGGATCTTGAAGATGCGATCAAGATTTCAGACGACGCTCCTGAGCCCGAACCTGTGGTAGTGAAGAAGGAGAAGGTTCAGTGCACAACATCTTTGGTAAGGACATGGAACTTACTAGTGTTCATTCTGACACTCATACAGACATCTGTATCTGTTGCGGCTTCTGTCGCTGACAGCCAGCCGCCTGCTCAGAAAAAGGTCAAAGTCAAGCCATCCACCACACGTGCCAATGGTGCTCCTGCCATCAAACGCCAGCTGAACATGGATACTACGCCAGACCACATGAAACCTCATGGCACCTATCGCAATGTTGACTTACCTGCCACGATGCAGGTGGACCAATGCTGGACGAAGAAATATCTCCCCACTGTCATGTTGTGGGCTGGGAGTTACGACGATATCTGGAATATCCCAGATGAAGTCCTTCTCCTTCATGCCCAGCTGATTTTTAATGCAGTATACAAGGACCTCAACATTACCATTGTTCACGGTGGTGTGATACATTCCCTGGTAAGTCCATTATCTTCTGTCGAGCTTGACTAACTATAGTTGTAATTAGACTGCACAGCGTATATCCGAATGGCACAGCAATTTTGGCTCAACAGGCATAGTCATCATCCTGGACTTCTTGACATGAAACTCCAATTGTGATCCAGTTGAACTCGCCAAATCATTGATTGCAGGTTATGCATTCTTGTTCGAGGACCCTGAAAAGCCAAGTCCCCTCATGACATATTGTTCTCCCTTCGTTTTACAGTTGTTAGGCACAGCGCATCTCAATGCCATCAATGGGTATGTGGAGGTTCCCAGACTTGATACATGTGCGCTCACGACACATGGGATGTTGGGTGTTATTGCCCTTTCTGCTGCAGCAGTAAGTTTCATTTTTAGATCGAGCATGCCTTCAAATTGCTCACAGATAAGGATTTGGAAGTCAACCAAGTCTTGGCGTCTAGGTTGCGAGGTAAACTTGCCCTCAAGCTACCGAAAGTCCTCAACAAAACTACTGGGAAGATGACCAATGCCCCATTCTTATTTTCAGGGGCTCACTGGACTAAAGCCACTACCTTGTTCATTAAGTCTATCATGAGCAAGCCTGCTGGGTATGTAGAGACCACGGTAGAGATGGCACGTGCTTGCAGTGCTGCCTTAAACAATGCGATGGACACACCACATGGCTCGCTTGATGATGAGGAGTCTGAGGACGATGAGCGTGCTATGCTTTGTAAGTGATTATCACTCAGGTTTCATCCCACTGACATTTGTGACTACAGGATTTTTCTTCGCACGAATATCGCTGTCCTATGCTGAACTCTGAGTCCTTCTGCTATTATATTTTCTATCATTTGTGCTGCCACCGTCACTGCTTGATTGTATGCCCCTTTTTTTTTCCCGTAACCCCCAGCCAGTTCTTACTTTTCAGTCTCCTTAATTTTGCTTTTTGGTCTCCTTAATTTTATGTTACTGTCATGTATGCCCAATTTCAGGCTGCTTTATTTGCCTTTTTAAGTGAAATAAGTGTGAAATAAGCGAAAATAAGCGAAAATTCAGAGATTGAGTGCGCTTAATTAAGTGGCGCGCACTTTTTCACTCAAATGACTTAATGGTCCTTTTCACGTAATTAAGTGACAAATTAAGTGAGAAAAGCAGCAGCTGGTTTTCCTGATGTGAAGTTCTCGGATTTCAAAAGCAGTCACCTCGATGTGACAGATGCGAGAAGCTAAGGCTTTCGAATATGGCACAACAAGAGACACCTGTTCATGGCAGGGTGATGCTTAACCATGTCCAATAATACACAGTACATTTTGTAAGTTTGTTTCTGAGCTACCAACATGAAGCTTCATGAAGCTTAATGTCCTCAACAGCACATCACCCATGTCACTCGAATGATACCAGGCACAATGCCTCAATGGTTCCAAAGATTGGGATCTCTCTTGTGATCTCGATGCTACTGGAAATGTTAGTATTTCAGGACCGCATTAGAAATGTTAGTATTTTTAGGACTGGAGTGCGTCACCAATGAATTTGATTGCTTCGTCAGAACATTGTAAATAGATCACAGTTTAAATTAAAAGTGCCATTCACGGCACCCCACTTTGAAAGGAATGTATCATGGAGATCCCGCCGCATGGCTGCCTGATGCTTTGCATATCCTCTGATACCTTCAACCTCTGCAAGCGTGAGCCCTGTGCAACGATCTGCTTGCACATCCCACCACGTAGCATGCCACAAGAGATATGCCGCAACACGCCTCATCTCCTCTTCAAGAAGTTGCACCTCCTCAACCCAACACGTAGCTCGTGCGCAAGACTTGCACCATTCAATTCTTAATGCTAGTAATATCTAGGTATCAGCAATTGCAAAATAATAAAAGAAAACATGACCTACATTCGTTGAGCACCGTCTCCCCTTCAGGAGCGTCACTAGCTATGCCGCGTGCCTTCCATATCCAGGACAATGTACAGTTGCCAGACGATTGGCCTGGCTTGCCTTGAGACATCCCACGGATGTCGTCATTCTCCAATTTCGGGAACTCCTCCTTCCACATAGTGCAAGACAGAGCAGGGGAGAGACGTTTGAGTGCAGACCATGCTCTGCGATACCTTGCAGCAGCAACGGATACATTCGACTCGACCTTGTCAATGATGGCTGACGCGCATGTGTTAGCTCGCTGGCCACGAATATGGGTATCTTTGAACTTGTAAAGATGTGCGCATAGGCGCAGGTGATGTTGGAGGTCATCCAGCGCATCATATGCCTGGGCCCTGCGAAGCTCCCACTCATACTGACTCAGTGTGGCATCACATTGATGCACTGGGTCTGTTGCATCTCCGTAGATCTTGGAGGGAAGCCACAGTTCGATCTTGTGAGCCTTCTCTTCAGTCGAATGGGTCCTGCTTGTTGGCATATCCGATGCATGAAGGCGAGCAACAACCGGCATGTACAAAAGTTGGACCTTGCTCCATTGTTCTATTTTGTGTCATAAAATGTTGCCCCGTTCTTGAAGCTTCGTGCGCTGTAAGTCAGTTGGATGCCCTCCCAGAAGCTCGATATCTCTCGCAAGCCGACACCTGCAAAATAGCCTCAACATACATATATATGAAACTTCGACAAGCGAAACTTACTGCTGGTCCTTGATCTCCATTCCTGATGAGATTAACACGCTGCGCAGACTTCCTCATGCAGCGAGTCGTCCATACCATGCTCGAGGTTGTCAGCTTCTTGCTGAGAGAGACTGAGTTGTACAGCTGCTTGCATTAGTGCTAGAAGAAAGTGAGTGTTTCGCATTCCTCGAACAACCTAGTAACATATGTTTGCCTGTAAGCACAAAAGGATTCTCTTGCGACGAATCCGATGTAGAAACAACAATACTGAGAGGAACAAAAGATGCTCCTAACTGTATCTAAAAAAATGTTGTAGGTCGAGTGTTGCCTAGTCTGCGTTACTTGAGGAGGCAAGTGTGTTCGACCCTAAAGGGGAAGTGAGTGCAGCAAAGATCTAGAGGTATGCGCTGAAGCGAAGTGCGAGAAAGCGCAGGTGCGCGCAAGGCGTGGGAACACGCGCGCGTATGCGGAAATGATAGAGACTAAGCTTAAGTGATGATATAATGCAAGATAAGAGATGTGAGTGCGAGATGTAAAGGAATAGAGATCTACTATGTTCTGCTAAGTAGTAAGTAAGTAGTAATAGGTAAATGGGAGGTAAAGTAAGGTAAGGTGAAAAGTAAGTGAGTAATAGTATGTACTGCTGGCGCTTATATAGCGCGCCTAAGCGCGGTCATGCGGAGCCGAAGCGCTACCGAGTAGGTATGTAAGGATATATATGGGTGAGAGTCCATGATAAAAATAAAGGTGGAACACTATGCTAATAAAGGAAATAGAAATATACACACTAGGGAGCTTGGTGGACAGTGGATGGATGGATCTGGATGGCTGGCACTATAGGGCGCGCAAGCGCGGGAACGTGCGCGCGTATACATCGCGAAGCGTGGGAATGGTGCGTGTTGCGCGGGAAAGCTGCGCCTCATATAGGAATTGCTGTGGACAGTACACAGAGTGGTGCTGCGAGTTGGTGCTGTATACTCCCTTAGTGGAAACTGCCATATCATGCCATGAGAGGCATGAGTCTCTACACCGATTCCCATTGTTCCACTGCCAACCTCCATTCCACCACCTGTTTGGGTCTCTTGTGTTCAAGTGCATTGTTGAAGTCTTCGAAATCGCGTACATGCTGGTCGCGTTCAGGAACAGCAGCTTTAAGCTTTCGTGATAGACTGACACCTAAATAATGAGTTAGATGTAGTTGAACGAAGACATATTGAATGACTTACCCATATTAGTGACCTTCTTCCAATTAAAATCACCGAAATGGTCGTCCAGAGTATCGTGGCGTGATCCTGGGCCCATCTCACGAGTGCTTGTAGCGACTGGATTGATGTTGGCCCAGCCATGCTCAGGTGCCTCTCCATCTGTCCGCCCCATGCCTTTGAGGAGGTTGTGAGAGTAAGTAATCTGGCAAATTTCAATGTGTGCAGGAAGATGGAATTTCGGCACAAGAAATGTGATGGTCTTGTTATCGTGGTGGCAGAGATGTATCGTAGATGGGTATTGATGCATGCGCTGCCACAAATTCATACTCCATTGACAAGCGATGTCATAAGATATGTTCAGGACTGCGATATCCCCCATGTGTTGCATGGTTGAAAATAAGAGATAATCCATGTTCACGTACCTATAAAAAAGCAAGCATCAGTAACAGAGTTAAATCAGGCATGTCATCGACTACGTACTTTTCGCCTTTTTGCAAGTCACTGACACCACAGGGCCGTTTGAAATTGTGTTGCAAGCAGTCAATGGTTCCTGCTCCAGTGGCTGCCAGGCCCCGAGAGTTTTTCGTTTCCGCTAAGTTGACTGCGTTATGGCTTGCGCATGTGCTTTTCTAAGTTGCTGTCAGACAGGATTCTCATTTAAATTGAATGACTTCACCTCCTGCGGACATCTCCCAACATCAGTAAGAAATGTCTTGTATTGTTGTTCCTCCATGAAGTACGCCCAGCCACGGTTGAGCCCAGGGTCCATTTGATCCGAAGAAACATTCTTGCGTGCCAGATGGAAGTTGGCATCAATCGCGAGAAACAAGGCATATAACCAGCTGGATAATGTTGATCAGCGCAATTCTAACAATACAGGTTGAAGCCCATACCGAGTTTCTGATGGGGCACTCTCCCAGTTCTCAGGAAGATTCTTACCAGGCTGAGGACAAGCCGGACACAAGACGGCACATGAGCCTTGCTCTGTTGCTCCAGTACCTGCAGGATTGTGTCCCCGTCCAAAGTGTTTGAGCAAAGTAATGTTTCGCCATTCCCGTATCATTCGAAGTAGAGCGTCATAACGATCCTATCATTGAGTGTCAGATATTTACAAAACCGCAAATAAAAGTTATCTTACTTTCACAATGACCACACCTCTATTGTGAGTAAGACACGTTAAGGTCTGCCAATATTCGAACGTGGAGACCTTAGATTCAAATGAGAGAATGTGAAAATGTCGAAGAAGCTTGAATGTTGCTGCGGTTTTTGGCTCTAGGACTGTTGCAGGGAACCATTAAATGCGAAGCAGCTGGGTGGTGGGACTTTGAGCGGTCTCGCACCTGCAGAAGTCTAAACTGACTTCATGAATGCCATTCACATGGAGTATGACGAAATCCTGGCAAGCAGCTGGGTTGTAGCAGTGCTCTTGGGTGGGGTGTCCCAGTTGAATTCGCAGTCCGAGAGATTTGAGTGTGACATCGTGAAAAAACACGTCCTTCCAATGCTAAGAGATGTTCAATGATAATTTTTGTGAAAATGTTCAAGCGGCTTACCTTAATCCTGTGCAATGGATGCTCATGGTGCCTCTCCACGGTGCATGACTGACAGTATAGCTCGGTGCCAAAACAATCCTTGCAATGAAATTCAGCTGGCAAAGAGCAGCCATAAGTTCCATGGCAAGTGGCTTGAGATATGAAGTCTCCGCGTCCTTCCAATCTTAACATCTCCAGGATAAAGGCATCTCATTCAGGAAGCCATGATGCGAGTGGATAATCCTGCACAAAATTAATTCACAAATCCAAATTTTCAGTGCACTTGTGACTTACCCCTGCAGTGCGTTTTCGCTTTCTAGTATGCTCGATGTTGGTATCTTCTAAGTAGTTTTCATGTGCACCATCCATGATGTTGAAATCCAAGTCATTGAAAGATTGAGGATCACACACTGGTGAAACTTGATGTTCTGTGCTTGCGGATGCTGAACCTTTAAAATATTCGATTCATGCAGATAGTCTACTGCAACTCGTATCCTGGGTCTGAGTGAATGAAGTGTGTTTGTGCTTGGAGGTTGACAGCTGAGAAGCTTCCTCTCTCTCTGTCGTGGCTGAGGCAAGTTGACGAGACTGTTCAAGTTCTCGATTAAGAACATAAAATTTCTCCTGCATGTCTTTGTTGTATTGTCGTCGACGTTTGCTAACCATGATCGTTGGAATGTGGTGGGTAGATGTATTGCTAGTAAACATGAGGCAAACACAAGTCGGTCATATGCTAGTACATCCATGTGAACATGACTCAAACATGGAGGTTTTTCTGATACATTAACTCCCCTGACGAGTGAGCAATGCAAAGTTCCGAAACTCCCCCCCAGTGAATCAAATAATCAATCTCTTCAAGATATGCAACTATGGTGCTGAGAAATCGAGACACTGAGTTAGCTGTATGAAACTCATCCGAAATTGGGCCACAAAAATTAAGGATTTGATCTTGCACATGAATCGTGCGATTTAGAATATCTTGAACCTTGAGCATCATGTTTGAGATAATGGTGACATCACCGTTATCACCACAGTCATCGGTGTATTTGATGCTTTTGACGTATTGAAGGAATTTGTCCTCGACAAATTTCTGGGGTTCACGATCATCAGTCAATGACAACATCTCATCCTTGATACCTTTGAGAGCAAGGAGGCACCCAGGAAGATCTGATCTGTTGAATGTTAATTGTTAATTTTATGTTCGTCATATCAGTATCTATTTATAAAACATACGGTGTGTCATTCTCATCATCGCTAGATTCATCAGTCTCTGACAGCTCAGTGTCACTCTCATCTTCATCGTCACAGCTTTTCAAGGCTCTCACAACTGCCTTCTCAAACTGTCGGATCTCCCGCGATGGCTTTGTTTTTTCAACATGAAGTTCTCATCGTCTTTTGAGTATATGGTCTCTGTTTCTTCAATTGGTTGCCCAGTCAGGAACATTGCACCACAGACAATTAATTAAAGAAACGTACTTCACATAGTGGCGCTGGGACTTCTCACGAGCGGCTTTTAGTTTAGCCTGATTTGTATAGGAGGACGTGGCATGGTGTGAGATTAGTAACTTTAGTTGGTTGTTGGTTGAAAAGAAGCGCAAAGGTTCTGGTCAGACCATAACTCAATTGAACCAAAGCTACTTGCGCAATGGTCAGACCATTTTGAAACTACATGTAATACAATTCTCGCAATACACTGACCAAAAGTATTAATTGATCCATTTGAATGAGGGTCTTATTTCTCTACAAATGTTATGAGTATACACAGTCTGACATCATATCTTGAGCACGCAGGTTTTGGTCAGACCACAAAGCATTGGTGTAGTAGTACCATATCAATTAAGCACGGTGTAGAAACAACAATACAATGAGGAACAAGGATGCTCCTAACTGTATCTATAAAATGTTGTGAGGTCGCGCGTTACCTAGTCTGCTATTCTTGAGGAGACAAGTGCGTTCGACCCTAGGGGAAGCGAGTGCTGCGAAGATCTAGAGGTACGCGCTTCAGCGAAGCGTGAGAAAGCGCAAGTGCGCGCAAGGTACGAAGGCGCGGGAACGCGCGCGCGTATTAGCGCGAAGCGCGGGAAAGCGCGCGCGCGTAAGCGGAAATAAAAGAGACTAAGCTTAAGTGATGATATAAAGCAATATAAGAAAAGATAGATGCAAAGTGTAGACCAATAGACTTCTACTATGTACTGCTAAGTAAATAGTGGGTGATAACTAGTAAGTTCCAGGGAAAAGTAAGGTAAAGTGTAGTATGTACTGCTGGCGCTTATATAGCGCGCCTAAGCGCGGTCATGCGGAGCCGAAGCGCTACCGAGTAGGTATGTAAGGATATATATGAGTGAGAAACTATGATAAAAATAAAGGTGGAACTATGCTAATAAAGGAAATGGAAATATACGTACTAGGAAGCTTGGTGGACAGTGGATGGATGCATCTGAATGGCTGGCGCTATAGGGCGCGCAAGCGCAGGAACGCGCGCGTGCGTATACATCGCGAAGCGCGGGAATGGTGCGCGCATGGCGCGCGTTGCGTGGGAAAGCTGCGTGTCATATAGAGATAGCTGTGGGTAGCGCACAGAATGACGCTGCGAGTTTGTGCTGTATACTTCCTAGTGAAACCTGCCATATCACACCATGAGACACACGAGTCTCTACATCTCCCAGGGACTTAAATTCTGAGTGTCCCCACTCAGCGCGCGCGTGGTGAGGATTTTGCGTGAGAGTATGCAAGTGCGATGCTTGTACGATGCTTTGGTTGTTGGGTGATGAATGTGCGAGTGCAGGAATTATCGCGTGATATGCAATGTATGCGAAAGCGCAGGCGCGCGCAAGGTGCAAAGGCGTGGGAAGGTGCGCGCGCATGGTATGCGCGAGGCGCGAGAATGTGCGCGCGCTATGCATGAAGGCGCGGGAATGAAGCATAGCATGGTGGATTGCGAGGGTGACTCTGATGTGAATAATATGCCATGGGTGTGGGGCGATGATGCGAGAGTGATATGGATGTGGCGCGCAAGGTGTGGGCGAGATGCGCGCATATGGCGTAAAGCGCGGGAAAGCGCGCGCGCACAAGGCGCGAGAAAGCGCGTGATTGTCGCATGTGTTGTATGGTGGGTATGATGCAAAGTGGCGCAGTCCAGGAGCGATCCAATCCATGTCCAGACCAAGTTCTGCTAGGTGCGCTAAATATTAGATGCTAAAGGTTTGAACATTGTGAGTAAAACTATATGTGAAAATATGAAGGGAAAATGGTAGACTTTGCGGATGTCCTATCCGACTTGTCTTCTTCGTGCAGCTGTCAACATCTACACCTTCCTATGAGCAAGGCGCGGGAAGCGCGCATGTGTGCGCGCGCGAGGCGTATGGGCGTGTGAATATTGCGCGCGTATGTGCGTGTGAGCGTGGGAAGACTGCGCGCATATGTGCGCGTTCTAAGGTAAAAAGGGGCATGGTGCCGCGTCATGCGTGCGAAGAGAAAATAATACTATTGAGCTAGGCGGGCACGATCTATGGTTGTTTTTCTTCTATGTTCTTCTAGGCAATCCCTATATGCATATATATCAGTGTGTTATTAGTCTTTTGGACAGTGTTATAATGAGAGAAAATGAAATGAAAGAGCGCTGGACGAAACCCAGGGTAAAACAAACAATATCCTATGAAACAGTGTTGGTATATGTTCCTCCTTTGATGCGCGGCTGAGGCGCTTGATCCTCCTCCTTGAGCGCGTGCGAGTGCGCGTGGCTAGCGCGCTTCGCGTCTCTTGCGAGCTAACGCTTGACCCAAGGTAGGGTTGGAATGCGCGAGGCAGTTGGCGCGCTTGGGGGGGCTTGTAACTGGCAGAATGAATTCCTGCACAACGCGCTGCAGGTTGAAGGCGCGCCAATGGGAGGCGCAGCAAGGGGTGTAGAGGCGCCCTACAAGCTGATAGGATGCGCGCGATGTGCGCGCCTTGGCGCAATTTCGCGCGAATTTGATTATATTGGCCGAACACGCGAGGAACGGCCATTTCTCTGCAAATTCATTAGCGAGAGACATGTATAGTGAAGAATTAGGCGCAAATGTTGCGCCAATGGGCTGTAAGGGTGGTATATCAAGGCGCAATAGGCGCATAGGTGAAGGAGAATAGTGTGCATCAAGGCGCGCAGGAACGAAATTGACATGGTAAGCAAAAGTGCGAAGAATGCGAATAAATGTGCGAAGTGCGAAGTTAAAGGTGATGATAGGGGGGTTAGGCGCATATGTATGTGTCAGGCGCGCGCCTATGTCGCGCCTGGATGTCTGATTGGAATATACCTTGTGTTGAATGACAGAAATGAAATTTAAAAGGGGAGAAGCGATAGAAATGTGGTAGTGTGAAAACTCTGCTAAATTTATGAGTGCACGAGGCACGGGAACGCGCGCGCATATTGCGCGATGCGCGTGATCATGGCGCGTGAACAAGGGGTGGTGAGAAGATGAAATTAAAGTGTTTGGAATCATCATATAGCTCCTTAAGAGCTTCAAACATGAAAAGGACAAAAAGCGCGAAACAAGATGAGGGTAAATATACACTGCCTCTAGGCGCGCGCATTGCGCGTCCTTAGGCGCAATATGGTGCGCCTGAGACGCGCCAGGGTCGCCTGAGACATGCTCTGCTTGATGGTTAGGTGGTGTGATGCATGGATGTTTTACCGGCGCGCGGTAGTCACTAGAAGCAAAGAGTGCTATGTGCGCGTGATCGTTAGTGACAAATGGAATTACCAGAGACAAACTCTGGTTGATGCAAGATGCGACTTGAGCCTCCGGTGTGGCAGAAGGCTCCTCTATAGGCGCGCTAAGGCGCGATAGATATTTAGGGTCATCCCTGACCTCTGGTGATGCAAGCAGTGATGGTGATGGTGCGATTGGCGAGGTTTCTTCCTTAAGCGATGCGATAGCGAGGGGCGAGCGTGTTTCTAGCGGTGCATTAGTGTGCAATAGATGATTAGAGTCATCCCTGACTGCTGGCGATATGATAGCGATGGGCGCGCGCGATGCGATAGCGATAGGCGCGCGTGTTTCAACTGGCGCGTTAGTGTGCAATAGATGATTAGAGTCATCCCTGACTTCTGATGCGATTGATGGTGATGGAGATGATGCGGATTGTGAAGGAGATGATGCTGCTGAGGATGATAGTGAAGAGGCGCCTGCAGCGCGCTTTGCGAGCGCGCGTTCGAGTTCGTGATCTAAAGTAATGCAGTCTGATATAGCTTTGCATGCTGGCGCAGTTGATGCTTGAGGTGCGCGTGAATCGCGCGTAGGCGCGGGAAAGGCGCGCGCGCGAGGCACGTGAATAGGAACTGGTGGCTTTCTGTCAAGTACAACATCTGAGGGTGCGCGATAGAAGAGTCCAGCTGTTGCATTAGCGCTAATGGTCGTATCCTGCGTTGCGCGACGCGCGTGGTAGCGATCTTTGTACTTAGCTACCTTAGCTTGCACTGGTGTGCTTGGCGCTACCACAGGTGCGCTAACTGGTGCGCTTACTGGTGCGCTTGGCGCGGGAAAAGCGCGCGCAGGTAATAGGAACTGCGCAGCTGCGACGATGTCCATGAATGGGTATGGGTCGTATGGATGGTGGTCAGGGAACTTGATCATAAGGCGCAAGCGAATTTGCGCCTGAGCATCGCTAGGGATTCCTTCCATGAATAGGTGGTCGCGTTCGGCCTTTCCAATACGGTCTTCATCCATGAGTGGCTGCATAACCTTCCTGAATGCGCGCAGGTAATTGCTGAGTTCTGTGCAAGAGGTCATTGGTTTGTTAGCGTATTCGCGCGCGATAGCGCGCAAGTCCGCGAGCGCGTAGCGTCTTTTACCATCCCATCCAGGATACATTACCTTCACTTCTGTCATGAATGCTTCATAATCACTTACTGCCGCTTCTGGCATACCTCCCCATAGTTCTCGATCGTCGCGCTCAAGGTAGCGGATAATACCTTTAATGCGGTCGTGTCCTTGGAGTCCTGCTTCATCAGCAAGCTGCTCATATGCGTCAATAAATTTGGCGAGGTTGTCTGTAGTGCCGTCGAACTTGGGCGCGTTTGCTGTGCCGCGGATGGGCAATCTATAAGGCATTGAGGCGTGCGAAGGCGCATGCGCACGCGAGGCGTATAGGTGCGCGCGTAAGGCGCAGAGGCGTGGGAACTATTGCGCGCACGCAAGGCGCGAGAATGCGTGACTAGAAAATGGTTAGCTTTTGAAATTGCAAAGAAATTGACCTTATATGTGCGAATTGTGCTAAGTGCAAAGGTGCGCGCGCGAGGCGCACAGCGTGGGAAAGCGCGCGCACAAGGCGCAAGAATGCGTGACTAGAAACTGGTTAGCTTGTGAAAATGCAAAGAGATTGACCTGTATGTGTTAAGATGCGCAAAACTAGATCTTGCTGACTGCTCCCCTCGCGGTGGGCTCCAGTTGTAGAAACAACAATACAATGAGGAACAAGGATGCTCCTAACTGTATCTATAAAATGTTGTGAGGTCGCGCGTTACCTAGTCTGCTATTCTTGAGGAGACAAGTGCGTTCGACCCTAGGGGAAGCGAGTGCTGCGAAGATCTAGAGGTACGCGCTTCAGCGAAGCGTGAGAAAGCGCAAGTGCGCGCAAGGTACGAAGGCGCGGGAACGCGCGCGCGTATTAGCGCGAAGCGCGGGAAAGCGCGCGCGCGTAAGCGGAAATAAAAGAGACTAAGCTTAAGTGATGATATAAAGCAATATAAGAAAAGATAGATGCAAAGTGTAGACCAATAGACTTCTACTATGTACTGCTAAGTAATTAGTGGGTGATAACTAGTAAGTTCAAGGGAAAAGTAAGGTAAAGTGTAGTATGTACTGCTGGCGCTTATATAGCGCGCCTAAGCACGGTCATGCGGAGCCGAAGCGCTACCGAGTAGGTATGTAAGGATATATATGAGTGAGAAACTATGATAAAAATAAAGGTGGAACTATGCTAATAAAGGAAATGGAAATATACGTACTAGGAAGCTTGGTGGACAGTGGATGGATGCATCTGAATGGCTGGCGCTATAGGGCGCGCAAGCGCAGGAACGCGCGCGTGCGTATACATCGCGAAGCGCGGGAATGGTGCGCGCATGGCGCGCGTTGCGTGGGAAAGCTGCGTGTCATATAGAGATAGCTGTGGGTAGCGCACAGAATGACGCTGCGAGTTTGTGCTGTATACTTCCTAGTGAAACCTGCCATATCACACCATGAGACACACGAGTCTCTACAACGGGTTTCGGTCTGACCAAAAGTGTTAATTGATCCATTAATGAGGGTCTTATTATTTCTCTACAAATGTTAAGAGTATACACAGTCCGTAGGACTGTGTATACACGTTTGTAGAGAAATAAGACCCTCATTAATGGATCAATTAACACTTTTGGTCAGACCGAAACCCGTGCTTAATTGATATGGTACTACTACACCAATGCTTTGTGGTCTGACCAAAACCCACGTGCTCAAGATATGACGTGTTATAATGAATTTATGGTGTCTTATTGCTCAAGCGCTCAAGTTCAAGCTTAACACAGTGTACATAAGTGAACATGTATGTACGAGATACTCCATTAAACTCTCCCTAAGTGAATTTTCATTGCTGCAATGTTAAAACCTGATATGATCAAGATCCCTGCATCAGTTTCAAATATGTCGTACTGAATCAACATGTACAGTGTCATTTTCACAGTTGTCATTTGCTGTAGTGTTTGTTGTGAGTGACATAGACTCAGTGGAGGATGATGCGTGACATGCAGAAATATGTGCGCGGCAGACATAACAAGTCTGACGATGAGTACGGAAGATGCAAGCAGGACAGCCTTGCAAACCAGGTGATGGTAAGGGTGCATCGGCAAGTGAGTAGCCATCATGAGCTTTTGTCATTACTTGGTGCCATCGGTCAATACATAATGCTGATCTAGTAGGTAATTACATACCATCTTGGTCATGAATCAATTGAAGCGCTGATGTGAGCTCGCTCATAGCAAATACTGGCCCATAGTATCCAGTTTCAGATGAGCCGGGGGAGTCATGGACTGTGAATTTCAAGTACGTGAGCTGGCAGGTATCTGTGTGCGTAACATACCTTGGTCACGAATTAATTGTAGTGCTGCTGTGAGCTCGCTCGTGGTAAACACTGGCCCAAAGTATCCATTTTCAGGTACATTGTATGAGTTGGCAGTGTCAGGGTCCGTCATTTGGAGCAAGCAGGAGTGAAAATTTCAACCGAGATGATTATAGCATGATTATATGAGCCTAATTTTAGCTCCAATGCATTGTGATTGGACAACTGACTGACCTCGTGTGCATTTGAACTTTAATTTTGGGTTGGTGGGCACAAACTCTCCAACTTGGGACACGACTGTCAAAAAGACCGAGGTAAGCCATGACATACATTTCATAAATTAAATTAAAATGACATTGATGCGGTGGGGCAGATGCCACCTGCAGAATGGACAACACCGGACCAGAAAGCTTTTCTTGAGTCGAAGTACAATGATTTTTTGAAGGCACAAGTCGGGGCATCTATTACGCAATTCTGGGGCCCTGTGTTCTCAGAGTGGTTCAGAAGGTTCCCTGAGGAACTTGCAATTTTTGGTGAAGCGCTGGAAGTCTTGTCAGAAGAGCAAAAAGAGGCGAAAGGCGCAGCTGTTGAACTCAGGCAAAAGATGAGTTTATCATTTCATGAGAATCAATTAGACCCGCTTACCGTTTCATAAGAAAATCAAGAATTGGTTTAACTACCATTCTCAGAAAAGCGGCTGCTCTGCTGTAAATGCAATGGGCAAAACAATTTGGCAGATGCTCACCAACAAAGCCAAGGGCACACAAATCCACACAGAGGCTGAAGTATTCTCGAAGATGAGGTATGCGGATGACGTCCAGGCGCAAGTTAAGGAGAGCATCGCTTCAGGCAGCCTTACCAAGAGTGAAAAGTTGGGAGCTGTGAGATTGATGACATGCACAGCTTATGAGGATGTTAAGGCCTTGTGTAGGGCAAAGGTTCAGGCAGAACGGGATGCCAAGGCATCAGAAGTCCTCAAGAAGACAGATGAGGCCCCTACCAATGCGCAATATGCTAGGTACGAACCATTCTACAACACTCCCACTTTAAGTTGCTCAATGGGTGATTTTATAGGGCACTTACCGAACGTATGGGTCCGATTTCACAATTCATGCAAGTCATTAAAGACATGACGGGTTGGGAATGGAGTCTGATCGGCGCTGGACCAGACCCACGTTTGGACGGAAATATAAATGCTATGAGATAGATAAGATGTTGCTGTTGATTTGCGAGCGTGGGAATCTCACAGGCACTGCAGTTTCCATTCATGTGTGAATGCAACTGGTCTCAATTGGAAACAAGCAACACCACACTTCAACGAGACACACTTGAAGGCGTATGTTGACTTCATTAGCACAGTTTTTTGTAAATGTTTTCCTCATACTAGCAAAGACTCGATGTTCAATATTAATGTTTGCAACTTCAAATATAGCACCGCACATCAGGAAGACACGTGCACTCGACTATGATGCTTCAGCATCTAGTAGTACGCCATCCATCATTGAAAATGAACATTCCCTATCAACCATTATATACACATTATCATGTTGATAATAACCACATTCAGCTAAAATGTGGCACCGCAGACTATCTAGTCATATATGGATTTAAAATGCCATCCTTTATTACGCATGACTGCCACATGGACGTATATTCGGTAGTAGCTGCACAATTGGGATTGCTAATACATTGAATCTGATTAATGGATGTGCAAAATAAGTTTACACTATGCGTCACATAGACTTTAGAGTATTGCGACTGTTCATGCAACATATCTAAGAGAGTGCGTTTGATGGCTCATCTATATAGTGAATAGACAGAGGCACCGGATACATAAAGTCATGTATGTGTATTTAATGCTATCCCACATGATCAAGAAAAGTCATGGAGGTTGGTGTACAGTGTCAATCTCATGAATTTAGTTGTAATACTACAGAACCTCATTGACAGCCGTGTCTGATAAATGTATATAGGACAATTGTGAAACATCACGACCCAGTTACTGGTCATGCTACATATATATGAGCACACAATTGATAGCCAATTATATATCATTTTGTGACAAAGGTGAAAGGTGGTTACCAGTTGCGTCCGTATTTCCCATATCAATATATCAACCTTCGTGCGTGAATGAGTAACTATGCTTTGACATTTGTCATACTCCCGACTCAATAAACTTGTGAAACTAGGATGCATAGTTGTTGTGGACAATTCAATGTCATCTCAGTGGCAAAGTAGGTCAAGTAGTCCCGCACCTATATGAATGAAAGTTCTTTGAAAGAGAGTTTGCCGTACAACATTTCAAGCACACAAAGTATTATTTCACAGATGTTAAAGAAATACAGCATCCCGCTACCTGTAACATAGGTAGGTAAGTGCCTCATAAGTGTAACATAGGTATCATCTCTCAGTAAGAACAAATTATGGACACGTCACAAATCAATGGCTATTATGTACTGCATTGCCGAGTCTCTCACATGGCACACAATCCATTAAAAAGTGAAATCACAGTACATTTGTTATTTAGATACTATGCAACAAAAGTTGCTATCGTGTTACATATTATATACTACTATACATACAATGCCAATCTTCCTGTAAAATAATGAGCACAAGATCCGAGCTAACGTCTGCTTGAACACCGAGCAACAGACAGCTGTTCAGTTCTTTGGGGGCGATAGACGGACACATGTTTGTGTCCAAAAACCTTGCTAATGTTACAGTATATTGAGAACAGTGGCAGACAGCTATAGCTATACACAATGACTCACCGATTCCACCAAAGTAATAGATCTTCAACTTCCTTAACTGCATCTGATGTCGCAGCAAGTTCGAGGAAGTCAACGATGTTGTCATAGAATTCTTGATGGTTGAACTCATCATCTACAATACGCCATGACCCTGTGCTAGACAAAGCAAACCTAAGCTGAATGACCTGCGTCAGCGCAATGATAGAAGTGATCTATTGTACTTACCTGCACAGCTGCGTATGCAATTGACCGTGGTTGAACAGATTTCATGTTCAACAGCCCAGCAACATCGCAGCGAGTTCGGTGCTCGCCATCAGTCCTTCGCTGCTTCGGAGGACCCTGCGTGGAAAGCATTGCCGGGCTGGTCTGCTCTTGGTCGTCCAGCTCTGCGGAGGTAGGAGACGTGAAGATGTATTTGAATGTCTACAGGTAGCCTCAGTAAATTGTCAGTCACGCTCGTGAAACCTACCTTTAAAAGTAATTTCCCTTTGAATAGACCATCTGTAGGGTTCAGTGGGTCATATCGTTCGTCTCTGTATAAAAAGGCAGGCCAAGAGTGAGCCATAACACGATAATCAGGGTGATAATCCCTGATGCCTTGTTGGATACTATCACATCGGTCAGCAAAGACACCATGAGATACACAACACTTACACCGGGTCACTCCAGTCATAATCTACGGGGCATATAAGCCGTCCGGTTGCATCATTATTGAACCCACGACCCATTTTGCTCTGCCCATGAATAACAGGGTTCGGCGGTGGGGTATCTTGCATCAACCATGAAGCAATGATGACTTTGAGTCGTGTTGTATCATCGGCAGCACCCTTATTTAACTAGAAATGATGTGTCAATTAGATTAGTATCGTCACCAAGGGGTGCACACATCCCACCTTGCTGTATATACAAGAGAGCTCGCTATCCTCGACCACTGAGTGTACGAGCCTACGGACAGACGGGCACCAAGTAGCTAATTTCTTGTATGATCTGTACCTCCTGTCGTCCCTAGTGGAACACATCAGCACGAGGAACTGTAAATGCGAAATGACTCACTCAAGGTCATTCACAGTAGCATCGTCATCTAACTCAATACCTAGTGTCACGCGTCTATCAAACTCTGCGATGAGGTCTTCGACACGTTCAGTAAGGCAGATGAGTCTGCGGATTACCCGACCCTCAAGATGAAGGCGTACACTATCAAATTAATGATTCAAAGAGTAGCCACGCACTAGATACAAACACATACCTTTTCTCTTCCATTGGAAGTTTGCGGAGCTCCGCATTTTGCGCCTCCAAAAGAGCCAGCCGCCTTTTCAAGGCACCTACTTCAGAAGGTGGGCCATCGCTTTGGGTGCTCGTTTGTGACATTAGATGAACTATGGAAGATTTGGTAGATGCATTGGGAGGTGTAAGAGGTAGATGCGAGTGGTGAATGTGAGAGCTGTGGAAGTGCGAGAGAAGGCGCACCGACTGAAGTATGAGGATCAGCAACGTTTTGATCCGGTGTATTATGAATGATGCAGAAAATATTGCGTCCGCTTACGTCTGTGGGCTTCGTGTTTGGAACAACCTAACGGTCATTAGAGGATTGCGGTCATTAATAAGAATGAAGGGTTGACAAAATTAAAAATGTACTTACAAGGTTCCGGTCCACTGAGCAACACCAACTTGAACTATCCCGCAGAACCTCCTATTAGAACAGTCAACGATAATCCCTGAATCCCTGAAAAACAATTAACAGCCAACGGACATCCAAGAAGGGCTTAGTTGGCTAAAATAATACTTTGCCTCCAAAGGCATCTCCTTCGCTATTGTTCTTCAGTTCATTGAGAATGTTCTACTACAAACATGCATCGTCAAGACAAGTCTACGCAAGGACTCGAGAACAGTAAAGCTTACAGCAAATGCCTTGCTGGTTAGCCAAAATGAACATATGAGAAGGTAAACGGCCAGGAAGATGTAGACCTTGTACATAATGAGTCAGCTTGAATAGGAAGACCTGACTTATACAAACGGTAGTGTGATTGCATATGCTGTCTGTTCACTCTTCGGTCTGTTACCAAGAGCTAGTACAAACTGTAGCGCGAGGAAGGTAATATAGATCCATTTGAAAGCCAAGTTCACCCAGTGCGTCTGCGAGCGCATGCTCAGTGTCAATCTTTCAACGCCATAATCGCTTCGTGCAGTGACATGTGAGGGCTGAGCGGTTGGCACGGAGGTCGGAAGATAAGCTATTACATTACCTGTTCTATTTATCAAATTTGAGTTCGCAAGGAAAATAAGTCAGATGGTGCACCTGAGCGGTCATAGTAGGGTATGAGGTCCCAAAAACTCAGCAGCGGACCCGGCCACATCGGTACCTAGTGCAGGGATTCGGTGAGTCTCAAGGGACAGACAGAGATGGGACGTACCTATAATCATGAACGGAGCGCTCATGAGTTTCTCCAGTACATCTGGAACCATTAACGGAGCATATTGAAACCTGGTGCAGGGATTTGGTAAGTCTCAAGGGCCAGACAGAGACGGCACATACAGTGGCTCAAAAAAGTGTCCCAATGTTTGTAGCTTTTCATGTAATTGCTATATCATGTGTCAAGCCGTGGGAATATGACTAAGCCATAGGGAGGTGTCGGAAAGGTCTGCTTCTCAGCTTCATTTCGGTTCCCTATACCGTGGGAAAATAACGACATTATGTGAAGATATGATTATTTTAATTTGATGACTCATTGGGACACTTTTTTGACTTTGAGTTTAACTAATGTAATCTCTATAATTCTAGTACTTTGTGTGACCTCCTTCTGCCCCAATCACTTCTGCCACTCTTCTAGACATATTCTCTATCAATTTTGGGTATTCCTCTTTGGTATTTTCATCATACTCTGTTGTAACACTGTCTCATAGTTGGAATAGCCCCTATGGTGAATCTTGATATGCTACAAGCAATTTCTTGAGTGATTCTCAGGGGTATTCAATATGGTTGATGTCTTGCATCTATGCTGAACATGATAGAATAGTAATATCATGGTCTGCAAGCTATTGGTGGCTGATTTAGAGGTATACTTAGGGTCATTGTCTTATCACAAAACAGTATTCTCTTCATTAACTCATAACTCCTGCATGCTTCTTAGCAGACACTCCTGTCAGATGAGTGTTTACTACTCTATATTCATCCTCCCCTTTACTTCATAGAAAATTCCTACTCCATTTTATCTCATATAGTTCTATACCATCGAGTTTTCGTCTTGAAACTTAAGTGTTTATTCAACTTTTCTTTATCTTAATGGTTGTGCTATCAATTTTAATACAAATTCCTTGCCATATGATCTCATCCTATTGATTTTAACCTTATATAACTAGATAAACCTCTTTCAGCTATTAGCAGTCCAATATTTGTACTTGAAAGTAGCATCTTGTCTTTTCTGTTTATAGGTTGGAGACAGAAGAATCTGTTTCTCTTGATTATAGCTTCAAAGTGGGCTGTCTTAAGAGTCTGTCTGACTATTTGAGTAGAGATAGTCATAGAGATGATGGAAATAATCAATTTAGTCACCTTTTTAGCATCAGTGGCCTTTCCGATTAGAATATAGTGATTAAGAGATCTTAAGTCTTATAGAGCAACCTTCTAGATTGGCTACCAAATAACTTAAAGACCATGATATTACTATTCTATCATGTTCAGCATAGATGCAAGACATCAACCATATTGAATACCCCTGAGAATCACTCAAGAAATTGCTTGTAGCATATCAAGATTCACCATAGGGGCTATTCCAACTATGAGACAGTGTTACAACAGAGTATGATGAAAATACCAAAGAGGAATACCCAAAATTGATAGAGAATATGTCTAGAAGAGTGGCAGAAGTGATTGGGGCAGAAGGAGGTCACACAAAGTACTAGAATTATAGAGATTACATTAGTTAAACTCAAAGTCAAAAAAGTGTCCCAATGAGTCATCAAATTAAAATAATCATATCTTCACATAATGTCGTTATTTTCCCACGGTATAGGGAACCGAAATGAAGCTGAGAAGCAGACCTTTCCGACACCTCCCTATGGCTTAGTCATATTCCCACGGCTTGACACATGATATAGCAATTACATGAAAAGCTACAAACATTGGGACACTTTTTTGAGCCACTGTACCCATAATCATGAATGGAGCGCTCATGAGCTTCTCCAGCGCACCTGAACTTGGCAGCGCGTTTAGGAGCCTACAAATAAGAACCAGGATATCCATGGCCTTAACATAGCGCACTCGGACGATGAAGAAAAGGTGAGCATACCTTCGAGAACTTCATTCTAACAACACTCACTGATCTACACAACCAGCGAGACCCATAACTCATCTTGTCCGGCGCTGCCCAATTTTCGTCCGGCCAAATTGTCGGTGGCCGAGTCCAGGTCCAGATAGAGCGCGATTGACAATTGAGCCCGTGACAAGGAAGGCAGTGCTGTCACGGCTGAGTCGCCACGTGTCACGTTTGCAGTCTGGGCGCTATGTCAAACACGTGCTAGATGACGCTATGATAGTTGTCTCTTTCCGGTGTAAGCCACTCACTTGTGTTCCCAGTCAAGTACCTGGACTGCATCAATACTGATTACTACTACATGTTGCTCCAGAAGAGTCTATGTACATCAAATGAGACTTAACTACTAGCAAGCACCGAGCAACATCACATGCCATGGTTTTCAACCGCGTCACAGACTTCAGTAAGGATTTCACTTTGCCTACCGATGGCCGCCTCAATTCTACTCACAGCTTCTAACACACCCAGAATTTCGTCAATTAGGTGCCCAAATCTCCTTCTGAGTCTGTCATGTTTCCATGATACTTTCTTCCCATTGGTACTGCCCTGGCCGAAATTGTCCGGAGCCTCCATATGATGGTAAGTGCATAATTTGAAAGATAAAGCCAGGCATACTCACATTATTCAACTCGTACTCTGACCTTTTTCGCTTGAGACATGGCCGCAGCTTATTAGTGTCCTTTATGTAGTCATTCTGAAGTTGGAAAAACTCCTTTCTGCGGTCTGGAAACCGATCTGTGAGACACTTCAGGTATGTGGACGAATTATTCAAAGTCGAAAATCTCACCATAAGCATAACACCCACAGGAATACACTGGACCACCTTGCCCGTGCGACTGACCTGGGCCAGGGCAGGAGTCCTTGTGACTTTGCGGAGTGGAGCTCCTTGAGCGATGGACGCCCTTGCCTGCTCTATGAGCTCCAAAGGTAGTATTCAAGATCGCCTCAGCTCCATCATTAAAGTCAGAGGGCCGAGAGTCAGCACTACTGGATTCTGTGTCGGACATCTTTGCTGGTTCCTCCTTCAAGTTGAGTGATGGTATTTAAATTTAAGTTGCTCCACATTTCAAACTTACACAAAAATGACCTTGGTCTGATACAGAATTTATTTCGCTTCTTCTTGACCCTGCATTCCAACGTACCAATCTCTCGGTTGGCAAAAACCAAGTTCCTAAGATCCTGTTCGCAAGCACATGAACACAACGTTGAAGACCGGTAACATTAGAAGTGGATGGCCTGAATGGGAGGATGTCCGTCATGCAAAAAAGGTATGGATCAGGGTTGAGTTCTGGTCGAAAAAATATATTTGCAGCTCCCTCCAGGTCACTCGGGCCGCTTGACATGATCCAGCTGGCATGCTCAAAGGAGTGACGAGCCTCCTGTTACCCTTCCGAAGTACCAGCTCCCAAATGTTGACAAGAAATAAGGTACGTATAGTGTAATATAAGAACATAATGACAAATAAGCACTCCATTTTCCAGATGCAAAACGGTTCAAGCAGGGAGTGACAGGAGGGTCTTGGGGAGGTCATGCTCTGGCACAGGGGTCCGAGTCAGTGCAAGGTTGCAAGGTTTTGAGGCAGTGCCAAGTGGGGCCTAACATGTGAACTGTGACAGAGCACTTACGACTAGCCTTTACTAAAGTCTGTTTAGGTCCTTTACGGAAGCAGGGACTCAGACTTGACTTGATTCAGATGCCGGCTCATTATATGGGCACAGGGATTTCACAAGCAGCCTAGCTTCTTTCCGGAATGTGGGTGCAGCAAAACAAATTTTCAAATGTGAGCACAACTAATACCATTCAATTGCCGATAATTTCGCAGATGCAGTCAGATCCCATGACCACTAGGACAATGTACATGTTCCGCAAGCTTTCCCTCTACTGGCGATACTAGTCAGCCGATCTTCATTGTGCCGCTGCCCCCACAATTCTGACCATCAGAAACTCTGATCTTCAAGCAAGATGTGTTCGATATACTTACACTACTAGTACGTCCATGATGTCATTGCCGCTGCGCGTCACTTGTATACACGGAACATGATTTTTGTTTCTCAATAAGACTCGCATCACATCATGTATCACCTGCAATGTCTCCCAAACGTAAGCCATCCTCTGCTACTAGTACCCCTGCATCGGTACTTCAAAGACTCCAAAATTCTTCTGGTGGATTCTATGCTGCTACACCAAGACTTATCCGTCATGTTGAATATTTCATAGGTGGACAAGACGGAAACATTCTTGTCAGCAAGGGAGGCGGACTCCAACCCACAGAGTTTATCATCCGCGGTGTGTTTGAGATCAGTCGCAATGACTTTAATTTCACCCCAGATGGAAATTTTAATCCCTCAAACGTGTTTCATGGTCGCTTTGCAGACGTGAAATTGAGCTGTCAGCTCACTGCTGCCCGTAACGATTCATTCCGATTCTCATCAGAAGACTTCCCGGATATCCTTGACAATCTCGCTCATTTCGAAGGATTAATCCCGAGGCCAGAAGAGTATGATAAACTCAGTGTCATTCATAACTCACTCGGCCAGAGATCGATCAAACTGACGCACGGTCTTTTTGAAGTAAGTGTTCATCATATACTTGTCTGTGCACATTATTAATTACTGAATATCACCGTGGCGAACCAGGCCAATAACGATCAGCAAGACACTGCTGGCGAAGTTTACGGTGATGAAAACTACTGGCATGGTAAGCCATGAATGATTCTTATGTCCGTCATTAGTACACTAATTGTTGATACTCGACTGCAGATGGCCTCAACCCCGAATTCGACATTGCCACCTGGCCAGTGGCCGACCGATGCAAAGGCCATTTGGAAAGCCTGGTATCAACCCATAGCATCTGCCCCTTGCCAGCATATGATTCAGATCATAACCTCATCCTACCGTCTCAGTATGAGTCGAAACTGAAGGGTGCACTAGTTGAAGTGCACATGGCGTTTTGTCACCATCGAGTCAAAAGCAGGAAACATGACATTTTCAGCACTGTTTTACGAGAACTCACCATCCTGTTGCCACCTGCCGCAATGCCAAGCAGCCCCTTCAAATGTCATCGTCTCAATGCCGGTCCTTTGAAGGCATTTTAAATGGTATGTATTAACTCTTACTAGTATTATTGTGTTCGCAAGCTGATCACCTTCTACAGTAATGTTGAGCACCACACCCAATGCATTGTTGTAGTACTACTTGCGTGTATTTCAAATTGTACATCTAACATATATAACAGTTCATACTCTCTGCAATCATGGTCGGGTCAATGCAAATTCTAATTCTTGTAGACTAGCAGTATTCTATACATACAGCAGCGTATGACTTCAATCGCTCACAGTCAGACACCCGCCACTGATATACCTCCTCCCCATCTTAGAGCCAGAAAGCACGAACACGTACAGCATTAGCCAGCCCATTGCAGCTCTTGCGACGAGTACGGGTGAGGGAGTGTCATGCATGGATGTTGTGTCATAAGATTAATGGTTAGTACAGTTGTGGAAGGGAGGCTCGCGAGGATGTAAGATTATGTCCTTTGCTGCGACCCAACAAGTTCGTCAACTTCCTCCTCGTCCTCCGTGGTGTCTTCATCAATAGCACCATCCTTGATGGTGGTAATCTGTGGGAGTTCCAAGACCAGTGAACGTTGCCGTATCGCCCTCTTCCAGGAAAGTGGGACGGGTGGTACCTCCACGAACACTGCGGAGCCGCCGTGGATTAGATGTTGTGGCATGAGATTTTGGAGGAGAAGCGCCGCGCAGACGGGTCGAGCCACAGTCTATCGATCTTCCCATTGGCAAACCCTCGTCGCCCACAAGTGTGAGGAGAATCTGCGAGGGGCGCTTCTCCAACAATGACGGGGTCACGCGAGGCCATGAGAGTTTTGCGGGCATCTACTGCAACAGATTTGACGGTGAGGACATCATCCTTGAGGGCATTTGCAAGGATGCGCTGCTCATGGAGAGAGAGATTGTGTATGCCTTTGCTCTTTGCAAGTGTTGCACGTCTCTCACCAGGCATGAGTATGTTCTCCGGGTAGTTTCCAAGGATACAGCCACGATAGGCTAGAACGGTAGGTAGCGTTTTCCAGGGGAAGTTCCCCCCTCGCCCTTCGAGTGTCCCTGTAATGTATTTAGCTATTCTACCCTATGATAAAGTATCGCACTTACCTAGAAGTGCCGTGAACCCTCCGATGATGCAAGGTATGCCATCAAGGAGCCTCCATCCATCAGGACCACAGACCCGTCGCTTCTCCAACCATTCATCCAACACCTCCTGCACTGGCACCCTGTACCACGATGCGATGCATTCGAGAACATAGTCAAGTTGAGTGAAATCCATCGATGCAACTAATGTATGTTGAGAGGGAGGAGTGTAGAAGAAAAACATCGATAACACATTAAGACTCGGAGGTGCCACTGGTTGATGGGACGAAGCGTCACACTACCCTGAGGGGGCTACCTAACAAGGTAGTGTGACCTTTCATCACAATCATGCTGCAGGCGCCTCGTCCGAGAGCCTGAGTCATAACCACTTGCGGTAACATTCATTACTAGACCGGACAAAAACCTAGTGACTCACCTTGTCTCACAGGTCAGTTTTCACTCTCTTCCTGCCCATCTAACAGTTTCTTCCAGGTAAACTCATGTTTGTCCCTCAGCACAAACAGTCCAAATGCGAATTCAAGAAGTTGTCAAAGAACATGGGCGACAAACTTGACAAGTACTAGAAGGGCTGGTATGATTCCTTTCGTTCGTCCCACAACATTTTACGCTGACCTGAATTTCTTGAAGCGCCTGATTTTGGATGAAACACTCCAACTGACCTCATCCGTCAATGAGCCGTCCAATGCGAATGTTCCCCTCCCGAGAGGCTTCCCCCCAGCAACCTCATCTTCATCCTATACCTTCTCTGGTGAAGGCTCCATCCCCACCCATTCTGTAATAGTGTTAGTACATTTGAATTACGTACCAATTTATTTGCATTCCATGCCCCACACGACACTAGTTACTCATGGCTATTGTCAGTCCATTTTCAGCTTTAAGATTTCGGTGGCAGTTCCATCATTGATGGCGGCCAAAAATATTTATCAACATGGTCACGGTCACCATGTAAGACTCCCCCAAGTCATGGCACCAAAGCTGAATCGTTCACCCTAGCCTCACCGAATACACCCTCAGTGACAGACTGAGAGGGAACATGAGAGTTAATCTCATTCCCAATCATTTTGTTTTACTTCTGACTGTACTACTACTTCTTGAGATTTTGATGAGCGGTTATTTCAAATGCCATGAGAAGTGTGGTCGGTCATTTTCAGCGTCAGGAGGCCTGACCCGTCACCGCAAAAGTTGTTCTCACTGGCAGCAACAGCTGACACAACAGTCACTACATTTCAAACGAGCCTCCGAAATTGTGCAAGGAGCACCTGCAGCTAAGAAGATCAAGCTTGGTACCGCTCAAGTGAGTAGTATTACTATACACCTGCTTCACAGCCTGATCTTTATTTGATTAGACCACTGGTGAGGATGCCACGACGTCACAGTTGGATGCGCCTACTCAGGCATCTTCGCCTGGGGTCACATCTGCTGCCAGTGGCAGTAGCAGTTACACATTCCCAGACCTATCCTCCAGCAGCGCCTCTCAACCTCCTCAACCTCCATCAGTGCTTCAACCATCAACGGAGCTTCAAGTGCATGGCCTTTTTGAGGAGCAGGCTGAACCATCCATGGCAACTCCTGTTCCTGAAGACACTTGCCTGAATCGCCCTACTCGCTCTCGCCAGTTGCCTATGCGATTTCGTGATGAGCTTCCTGTGCCACCACTCCCAATACCTCAGCCTCCTCCACCCTTCCCCGAGTCATCCTCCATGTATTCGACTCTTTCTGGACATCCCTCAACCAATTTGGCATTGGACGAGAATATCGCCATCGACCAATGCATGATCCCGACGCATTCGTCTCTGTAGATCAGCTATCCAATTTTTATCCCGACTCGAGTGTTAATACTGAACCTAAGATGACATCTTCGTCAAAGGCTCCTCCCTGGCCATGGCGGAACATGAGTGTCTGGCGCCTCATGACTTGGATGCTGAGCAGAAGCAATCAGTCATCTGAAGCTCAAGTAACTCGACTAGTCAGAGAAGTCATATCGGCTGAAGATTTCAAAATCGAGGACTTAGAGGGCTTCAATGCCCATACCGAAGTGAGGTGTTTGGATTCCTTGGAAGCTGAACTTGGCGACAGTGAGATCTTTCGAAGGGATGGGTGGAAAGAGGTGGCTGCAGAGATTCTTGTACCAACACGGGAGAAGAACTCAAACAGCAACGGGCAGATTTTCACAGTCCCTGGATTCCATTACCGGCCGCTCACAGCAGTGATCCATGCTGCTTTCACAGACGTAACGTTAAAATGGTTTCATTTCACTCCTTTCAAGCGCTTTTGGAGGTCTCCTGCGACTAGTCAAGAGCAGCGCCTTCACGATGAGCTCTATACGTCAGATGCATGGATTCAGGCTCATGACGACCTGCAGAAGCAAAGGAGAGATGACGGCTGTAAGCTCAAGAAAGTCATTGCAGGACTCATGTTCTTGTCGGATTCCACGCACTTGGCACAGTTTGGGAATGCGGCGGCATGGCCGATTTACTTGTACTTTGGAAATCAGTCTAAATATGCTCGTGCCTGTCCTTCTTCCGGTGCGTGTCACACTGTTGGATTTATTCCTACTGTAGGTGTATCTATACTTCAAATACTAGTATTGTTATGCTGATGGTCATCGGCCTGTCCTCGGCAGCTTCCAGAGTCTATCAAACAATTCATTGCGACAATTACTTCGGTTAAAAGGAAGAGCTACCACGACATTCTTGCCCACTGCAAGCGCGAGATGTTTCACGCTATCTGGTGTATCTTAATAGATGACGACTTTCTTGACGCCTACAGAAACGGCATCGTCATCAAGTGTCACGATGGGGTATACCACCGAGTATTCCCTAGAATATTTACCTACTCTGCAGATTACCCTGAAAAGTGCGTAGAGTGAACGCTTCTCACACCGTTTCTGCTAATGAGACCTTGAAGAGTTCTTATTGCAGCAATTCGTGACAAGGGCGTGTGTCCTTGTCCTCGATGTCTGCTTCCAAAATCGTGTTTTGGTCGGATTGGACTTTGGTCTGATATGTCGGGAAGAGTTGCAAGAGTACATAGTTATATCAAAGATATCATTATTGCTGCACGCAACACCATCTACAAGTTAGGCACCCCGATCAAGGGTGCCGCTGTCAAACATCTTCTAAAAGAGTCATCACTTGTGCCTACCCTTGTAAGCATATCTCGGTGTTCATTTAACTTGGCCTTTATTGTACGTCACCCACAGAATGCCTTTGCTGACCGTTTAGGTCCTTTTGGCTTTGATTGCTTTCCAATGCTCGTTGTTGACCTTCTACACGAATTTGAGCTGGGTGTCTTCAAGGCTGTCTTCAAACATCTCATCAGGCTACTCTACGCTATAAACTCTGAATGGATAGTTGTCCTGAATGAACGGTAAGACATCTGACTGCAGAGGAGTTCTATCTAATGCGGATACCTTTTACCATAGCTTTCGCTCGATCCCTTCCTTTGGCAAGGGCGCTATTCGGCGCTTTCCAACAAATGTATCTGATGTCCGACAAAATGCTGCAAGGCACTTTGAAGATGTCTTACAGGTTAGTCTGACAGTCCTCATGGTTTCTGACACTAATTTGCTTCTTTTTTTTGGAACAGTGCGCAATCCCTGCCTTCGAAGGATTGTTCCCTAGAGAGCACGATGATATTATTTGGCTTCTTCTCTTTCAACTGGCAGAATGGCATGCCCTCGCCAAACTTCGGCTTCACACCGATGATTCACTCGACAAACTCGATCAAGCGCTGAATGCCTTAGGAAAGCAACTTCGGCGATTTCAGCAGTTTACATGTTCAGCCTTTGAAACTATGGAGCTTCCAAGTGAAGTTGCTGCACATCAGAGGAGGCAAGACACTAATCCGCAGTCTACCAATCAAGAAGCAAAGGTTTCCGGCACCTGAATCAAAACCTTCAATCTTCTAACCTATAAATTGCATGCGCTCAGTGATTACACAGCTTCAATTAGGTTGTATGGTACGACAGATTCATATACTACCCAAATTGTACGTGTTTGATATCTAGCTACATTGTCCGTACTGATATTCTGCATTTTTTACAGGGCGAGCTAGCTCACCGCTTCATCAAAATGTTGTATCGAAGTACAAACAAGCAAGACGCTTCGAAGCAGCTGGCTAGGCAGGAACGAAGGCGCACTCGCATCCGACGGCAACAGTCGTCAATAACCCTCCTTCAGGACATACACGCCAGCGATCTACCACCTGAAGCCCATCATTTTTTATCAGGCAATAAACACAATAACCTGAATTTGGCCTCTTACCTTGGGGAACATAGGGACGATCCAGCTGTCAAAGTAAGACGCATCAGCTGACTTACTGTTTGACTGCTAACAGTGCCCAAAGGACTTCGTTCCGAGATTGAAGGATCACTTTCTCTCGCGGCTCCTAGGCTTGGACTATGACGGCGATGAGCGAGAATTCAGTAACGCCCAACGAGGTAACATACTGTTCATCAACAACCTCAGCAGAGTCTCCCAGGCCAAGCGCCTCCAAATTAACTACACGACATACAATATTCACCGGGACCAAGACACTTTGAAACCAGGGTGCGGTCGCACTGTAATGATGTTGTCGAGGGAACAAGGCACCAACCCTCATCCATTCTGGTATGCGCAGGTTTTGGGCGCCTTTTGCATACAGATACTCCACATTAGCCCGGAGGCTCGTAATCGCTCTCCGCAATCAATGGAGTTCTTGTGGGTTCGGTGGCTTGGTGTAGTTCCACATTACCGGTGGGGCTTCAAGGAAGGTCGACTCCCGAAAGTCGGATTCGTACCAGACTCACCCACTGCATTCGGTTTCCTCGACCCTTCTCTTGTCCTCAGAGCTTGCCATCTGATACCAGCCTTTGCTGATGGTCACACGGATGAACTCCTGCGACATGGCCCCACAGTTGCACGACCGTTTGGAGAAGTAACCGATTGGACTGCATTTTATGTTAACATGTGAGTCCATTGACTCAGAGTCTCAGACGCTGTTTAAGACCTTCATAATTGACTATTCAAACACAGTTTTGCGGATCGTGATATGTTTGCTCGCTTTGCACGCATTGGCATCGGTCATCAAATTCAGTATGTCTTGCCAAATGCGACTGATGATGATGATTCCATCGGGCGCCTGAGCAATGATGACGAACCTTTGGATGAGGGTGATCTGGAACCTACGACAAGCAACACCGTTGAGTCCCATGTTAATGACCACCGGAATCGAGCTCAAGGGGAAATAACCGATGACGAAGAAGACAGTGGATCCGATGCATGGGATGATGAAGATGAGGATACATCCACGAGTGACTCGGATGATGAAGACGATGATACATCCATGAGTGACCCGGATAATGAAGACGAGGATACATTCATGAGTGACTCGGATGACGAAGGGCCGGATTTCAAATTTTAGGATGAGATAAACTTTGTATTTTATGTGCTTGCATTGAGCAACAACTATGGAGTGACCTTTTCGTTGTTACAGAACACTCCAGCTTGAAGCTGAAGCTTCGAAGTCCAAACTCAGGATCGCGGCGGCGCACTGCGTGTGACTGACGGTCACAATGCGTACATAGTCCTGGTACTCAAACTTACATCTATCTGCTCGCAGCCCCTGATACCATCATGCTACTTATGCACGATTTCAAGCTTGAAAACTTATAGTCACATCGGACATCGTTCAATTCGGCATTCCAGTCCTGCAGGTATGCATCTGACGAGTCTGCTCTCATAGTACATGCTATTTTCAACTTGAAGTTCACCGCTGCCAGTTGACTCATATATTGGCGTATGATACCTCTGGCTAAAAGCAGATGAGCTATAACATTCATAGTTTATGATCTCAATGTCTCCAAAGTCGCTGTCAAACTACGGTCACACTAGATTGCTATATAAAATCCTACTTTATCGTACAATTTTGATGGAAAACTGCAGAAGTCGGAACACTAGTTTGGAACTAAATATGGGATTCTATTGATTTATCGGAAGAAAGCTAAAATAAAGAAGAGACTATGAATCAGTAATGTGATGGACGATTTGGACAGTGGAGCGTAAAAATATGAATACTAGCTAGAGAGCTTATATAGGCTGATATGAGTTCACCAAAGAGCAAAGCATAAGACAAAATAGATCACAGATTAGGCACCTGGTGTGCGTCTTACAAGCCACCACATAGACATATATTGGGAAATCTGGTTCACTCAACCTTATAAGGTAAATATGGTCATATCATGTTGGTTTGTTTTCAGTGATGTCTGCCCCATCCGCTTCCCAGTCACTTGATTCTGGTTGCTCTCAGCCAGACGCACTTCCCACAACACCTCCGGCTACAACATCCTTTCAATCACCACCTCTGGGTTTATCTGCACCCCCTGCTTCCACTGAGCACTACGGCCTCCATGACCCATCTGTTTCTTTCTCCCCCAATGTCAGTCTGCAGTCATCCAACGGATACAACCTCCAAGACGTCTCATTCACAACAAAGGCCTCATTTGATGCACTGAATTGGGAAAATCCACCGCCTCTTCTCCGCCCCTTACTCAACGGATCTCCAAGCACGCCCAATGGATCTATAGGCTCTTCCACCTGGAGGACGCCACCTGTACTGCGCTCATTCCTGTCTTCATCAAACTCTTTCCCCCTGCATTACAGTTGTCCCCAATCACATCACATTTGTTTACCCAATCGGCAGCATCGCACTCGTTACCTTCTTTGCCACCTATAGCAACCCCGCAATTCACGTTCCCGTCGCTCCCTTCCCCATCACTCCCTTCCCACTCTCTTCCACGTCACTCCCTGGTTCTCCCTTCCCACTCCCTTCCATGTCACTCCCTGGTTCTCCCTGCCCCAATTCTCCTTGCCCCGGTTCTCCCTGCCCCAATTCTCCCTTCTTCAGTTCTCCCTGCCCCAGTTCTCCCTTCCGCACCTCCTGCGCCTCCTGCAGTGGAGACTCCACAAAACGGAGACATGCAGCATAGCGCACCAGAGAAAACACTCAAGGTAAAACGAAAGCGCGTGTCAAAGGCCGTCGACACGGTCATGGAGGTTGTCGAGTCTGCTGATCCAAATACTCTGCGAAAGACTGGTCGTATTCGGCAGGAGTCCACCCGTATGGCGCAGGTGAACCAAATTGGCCAAATTAACAAGCGATCGAGAACTCGGAGATAGGACCATTAAAAGTGAGTCCACGCTTGCTCAATGCATTGAATCGTCTACTGACACATTTCTCGCACCATTTTCAGTACCTTCTGTTTGATATCATAATGATATCATAATTGTGACTTATTGTGTTCTCGTCCCTCGTTTTTGATATACATGTCGTCGTATAATAGTGGTAGTTGTCGTTATATCAATCCTCGTTGCCATGGACCTTTGGTACCGTGTTCATTTCCTAGTACTTACAAATATTGTTTGTTCTCGCGCTCCGCTGCTACCCTCAGTTGACTTCGTACGTTGCTGAGGTTAGTACCTTCATAGTATTCAGTATCTACCTAGCTAACAACACATGTAGCTATCTGCTACAGGTATACCAATATAACTAGTTGACTTCGTACGTCGCTGAGCTATCTGCTACAGTAGTACATATGTTAAATTGTCGTTCTTGATATACATGTCGTCGTATAATAGTGGTAGTACATATGTTAAATTTTTCTTGCCCTTGTTCATTAATGACATACGAAATTCAACACCATACTCACGAATTGCAAACTGACTTAAGTGTACATTCCCTCTCACTACACAGATAGTGTTGTTGGCAGAATGCTGCCATTCTGCCGGTGGCAATTGCCAAGCGGCAATTGCCGGCAGTAGGTCGAAGGTGGTTGGCAGAAGTCGGCAGAAATATTATGACCTAGTATTTGTTCCGACTAACAAACAGTAAAAATTTGACATATGTTAGAATGTATCTTGGTGGTTGTTACCATGGCCTCAAAGTCCAAGGGCGGCAAGGGCCGTCCCATCCGAAAACTTGTGTCTGACCACTTTGTTATTGGGGAGAAAGTCAAAAACAACTCAAACCACTACTTCTTCACATGCAACTACTGCTCGGCATCCATTGAGGGCCGTGACGATAACCATCTCAAACATTTAATCGACCAGAAAACATGTCCCAATGCCCCTGATCGTACTCGCGCAGAAGTTCGTGGCTACCTTGCTACAAAAAAAGGCAATCAAGACCTTCTATCCCCACCTATCACCTCCACAACTTCGGAGTCAAATAGCCATTCTCAGGGTCAGACTAGCGTGGAATCACGAAAACGGAGCAATCTTCTTGGATATGTAGACCTCCCTGTCACACCTGAGCAAACCAATCGAGCACATTTCAAGCTGCTTCAGTCAGTAATTACTTTGTATTGTGATGTAATTACTCATTCATGGGCACAGGTTCATTGTTCACTCCAACATACCATTCTCAATTACTGAAAACTGGTTCTTCTGGCACTTCCTTGATGAAATACGTCCCTCCTATCAGGCACCATCACGTTATGTACTCTCGCACTCGATCATGGACAGTGAGATAGCTCGTGTCCAAATGGAAGATATTGCTCGTCTTAAAGGTCGTAAATGTCTCACCTATCTGCTTGATGGTTGGGAGGATAAGATTCGACGGAGCTTGTATGGCTCCATGGCTGCAGAAGTCAACCAGCATCCTGTTGTGCTCAGTCTCGAAGACATGACAGGACACCGAGGTTCTGCAGACAAGTTACTCGAAGTCTCTGTGAAAGCCTTAGAACGAATGGAGATTGGTGATGGACATAACATAATTGCTGTGACGACAGACAATCCAACTGTGATGCAATCCTTCCGACGGAAATTTCAAGCAAAGTTCTACTGGGTCATTGTCAGTTTGATGCTCTTGTCTTATCATACTATGTATGAGCTCATTTGATTGCTAGACGTTACCCTGTTTTCTTCATGGCCTTAACACCATCATAGGTGAAATATGTGCCCACCCGTTTATGAAGCAAAATGTCACAAAGGCCACACATGTCGTTACATTTTTCAATGGATCACACTACTGGGGTGGTCAGCTGAAAGAGCAAGCAAAGATTGATAATGTCAAGCGCGGATTGAAGAAGAACTGTGAATCTCGTTGGTATGCACTTATTCTTCAGTCAATGAGTGTTCGAGATCATAGGTATTTACTAGTGATATTTGTTTTGAATGACGAGCTGATAAAGCTGGGAAACCTGTTCGTCGAAAACACGCACATATGCATACCCGTCCTGAACACGGACTCGACATTGCTCTCGCTGACAAGCTACAAAGATCATTTGCATGGATCCCTCCCCTCGCAACAGACTCTGATGACCAGGATTATCTCGCGGGTCCGGAATCAATTACAGATGAGGAGTTGGTGGATGAATTTGAAAGATTCGAGCGCGAGACGCGGGAGGCTGGCCAAGCACGAGAAAATAATGAGGCAAGCGGTAGTTTGTTTGCAGGTGATGTGCCGGATGTTCTGGATGGCGGCCTCGTTGACTGGAGTGAGCTAGAAAGGGTTAACAAAGGTATCACACCAACTGGCTTCGTTGAAGAGATTGAGGTACTCAATCGAAGCTCAAACGATGTATCAGGGTGGAATGTTGATGCACTTTTGACGTCAGAAGGCATAGCCTCAATGTAGTAGTTGAAACTATTTTTGCCGTAGTATAAACATAGTTAAAAAGAGCTAAAAACGCTCACAATACATTTTGCCGACTTCTGCCATTCTGCCAACTGCCGAGAGGCCAATTTACTTCTGCCCACGACACTATACACAGATCAAAGGAAACGAGCTTCATTGGCTTACCTTTGAAAGGTAAGCCAATGAAGCTCGTTTCCTTTGATCGACTTGAAAATGACTTGGTGAAATTTCGACCGCAAGATCCTGACCCGATGTAGGAACCACCAGAACCACGATCTAGATGCATAGATCTGCTGGCTACAGGAACAAATCAAAGGAACCCCAAAAATTGGTATTTCGTCCTAGATTGGTCAAATATCGCCAAAACGAGGTGTCTGAAGCGTTAAGCGTCACCGTTGGCACTGAAGCCCTAAGAGACGAACTTACAAAACCTGACTGTTTCTCACAAGTGAGTATTATGCTTAATATTAACAGTATAGCCTGCAAGAGAGATAAGTCGCGCAAGAATAACCAGATACAACTCAAGGTAAATTCAAGAACGCCTGCCTCACAAATAAGTAATTACATCGGTTCTTATACTAGTATCGTCCAAAGCTTATGATTAAACAAAACGAGTCATAAGATAGGATAAACGGAATAAGGAGGAAGGTCTCAGATTGATAAACTGTTAGTCTTGCCTTCGACTGCTCACAATCGCCGATACGACTAAGTCCGAAGGCAGACGTCACACTCGAACTCCGACTAAAATGCAAATACAAATGAATGGGTTGGTTGCATAAAAGACTGGATTGGACTTGTTAAAGCTGTATCTTTGGCTCTCTGTACAGCTTGAGTGCGAGAGAGGAACAAATTACAGATACAGAGCTAGGATAACACATGAGTATAGATGATGCCTAGTCAGGAAGTACATACGATAATGCCATAGCCAATGATGCCCAGACGGGAGCTAAACGTGCGTGTCCGACGGGGTATATGACGCCGGCAGCGATGGGGACTGCGATCAAATTATACATAAATGCCCACATCTACAAAATATATTAATGGTGACAAATGATGCAAAGAGAGGGATGAAATGTACAAAGTTAATTTTGACGCGGTTAAACACTTTTCTTGACAGGTCACTCAGTATGAGCAAAGTTTTGAGGTTAGAGTATAAGAGAATGAATGAAGCACTAGATAATGCAATGTCGCCTGTCATCGAACTTGGTTGGTATGTGCTCTATTAGCGGTTGGATGAATATTAGAGCTTACTTCCGCAACCGATAGCTATTCCTATGTCACTGACAGCCAGTGCCTAACGTCACATTCAAGACAAAATAACAAATGAAGACGTGCATGGAGAACTCACAGGTGCATCATTGATACCATCCCCAACCATTGCGACGACACAGCGCTCGTTTGACGTTGACCTGCCTAACATACGTCGCCATCTTGAAGAAGGGCGTTTGGCACCATTGCGCTGCAGCCATTCGATGTGTTTCGCCTGTGAGATAAATCAGATCATACAACACGGAAAAAAATGAGGATAACGACAAACCTTTTGCTGAGGTAAAACTCCAGCAATGACGTTCATTTCAGGAATGCCCACAGATTTTGCAACTGCTTTTGCCGTCGTCTCGTTATCCCCTGATAGCATCCATGTCCCAATGCCCTGCTCCTGCAAATGACGTATAACACCAGTAGCTTCCCTCCTGATGGGATCCGACACGGCGAATATAGCTGCAACGACGAATTCATTGTCAAAGTCTGCGACCGTGACAGCGAGGAGGACGATACTCTTCGCCTCAGATTTCCATTTATCGAGCACTTGGAGAACGTCTGGAGAGAGCGGGACATCGTGGTCTTGCATCAGGGCTTCATTTCCTACTATCGCCTTGCATTGCATTTCTTTGAAATCCGCTTTGACGCCTTTACCAGCAATTTCATCGAACGCGTTGCCAACAACAGACACGGCACCATGCTCCCCCGCATACTGCCTAATTGCATTTGCGAGCGGGTGGGATGATGCAGACTCTAACTCCGCAGCGATTCCGAGAAGCGTCTTCTCAGGCACCGACGAAAGCAGGATCTCGGCATCAGACACTCGGGGCTCGCCACCTTCGGTGAGTGTTCCGGTCTTATCGAACACAACGACATCAAGTTGCGCCATGTCTTGGAAAGCCTCACCACCTCCGCGGGCCAAGATTCCATATTTAGCTGCAAGGCCGGATCCTACAAGAAGAGCGGTAGGTGCTGCCAGGCCAATGCCACAAGGGCACGCCACGACGAATACTGCGATTGCAAACTCGAGAGACCAGATGACTACAGAGCTGATGTCAGTACAAAGCTAAGTGAATCGCCTTGAAAAAACTCACTCCATCCGCCTTGACTTGTATCTAAGTAACTCCTAGGGATAGCACCGCTAACACCCAAGGTAAGCCATATCAACCAAGTGACGATCGCCAGTAAAGTGATGATTGGGACAAAAACGCCTGTAATATGGCCTGCGATGCACTCAATGGGTGCCCTACGAGTTTGACCCTCACGGACAATCTGCACAATCTGGTCCAGCCTGTAGAACTCGGTCAGGTAAATAATATCTTTAGAATCGAAGTTGGGAGACTAACAATGTGACACCGTCGACAGCGTCAACTCGAACATCTACAGCCCTGGACTTATTGATTGTTCCAAGAAGAACCTTATCCCCGATGTTCTTCTTAATAAGTTGAGCCTCGCCCGTTAAAAAGCTTTCGTCAAAGGATGTTTCCGGACCAGAGACGATTGTACCGTCTGATGGTGGTGTCGCACCGTTTTGCACACGCACTACATCGCCAACCTCCAAGAGATCTACAAGTACCTTCTCAAATTTGAACCCAGGAGACGCAACAAGGCTACCGTTATCGTGCGCTACGTCGCACTTTTCGGGATCATTGGGAGGAACGACCGTGGGGGCAGTAGAAGCAGAAGCAGAGCAAGGAGACAAGACAAGAGCTCCGGCAGGGCGAAATGACCCGAGTGCAGTAATGGCGTCTGCAGTCCTCGCTTTACTGTATGCCTCGAGGTAGCGGCCTAATGATTACGGTAGATAAGGAAGCAAGATAGACAACACGCGAGTTCCACTCACCAGCAAGTAAGAACATAGTCAGGAACACGACATAGTCGAAATATGTCGTTTCTTGCCGTGTACCATCACCTGAAGGTGGCTGTGTCGCTGCAAGACCTAGAACTACAATCGATGACAAATAGGCCACAGTTACGCCAGTAGAAACCTGTTCATGATGTCATCATCACATAAAAATGCGGGCTACATGATACATACCAGAAGGTTCATACTGCCAAATCTAGTGAAGCGCTTAATTATGGGGGTCGCGCTCCCTTTCCTCCACAAAGCTTTGATTTCCTTGATACTCCGATGGTGAAATGTGCCAGCGCCATAGAAGTATACTGGGGTTGCGAGGAAGAAGAGTGCCCACTCGATTGCAGATGCATTTCCATTCCACATGGGCTGCATTAGATATAGCTTCGTGAGATTGTCAGCGGAAACAAGACTCATGTAAACGACACCAATGATGAACGTAGGTATCGTAATGATGAAGGTGAAAAACAGGCGCTGCAGCAAGACTCTTTGCTCACGTCGTTGCATGCGATGCGTGCATTCTTCGAGAGTAGGTGCACGATGGATTGATACACTGTATAACGTCGGTTCCACGGACACAATAGTGGAGGTGATGGAGCGGATGGTGAAGTCTGGAGGCGATGGCATATACGAGACTTCTATCACGGAATCCAAATGATTTGCTAGTGGTTTAATAATGGTGATGTCGGGCTGGAGCTTTTTTAAGGCGGTCATGATTTTGATTGGACAGTGTCTGGCTTGCGGATATCAGTAACCCCGCATGCGACCACAATAAGATTAACGCACTGGCAGTACATTCCGTCGATACGAAGGGATAATATCCTAGGACCTGTTTTTGTAGAATTATTTGTTGACGTCAATGGGATGAGGGGCTCGATCTTGATGACATCGACTTCGAAGCCACAGTCGTCGATCGCTTTGGTCACGGAGCCAACTAGATCCTTTCGAGCAACAATAACTGTGGCAGAGTTGCTAAGAAGGCTAACAACTACTTCGGAGATGCCAGGGAGACGTGAAACTATTTCGGTGATGGTGCCCGAACATGAGGAGCACGTCATACCACCCACGGACAGGGTGACGAGATGCGCTACGTCGTCAACGCCTACCTTGTGCAACGAGCTTAGGCTCCGTTCTAGGGCCTCTGGCGTGGAGCAATTCATCGGAGAAGCGGTATTATCCTGCAGGGCTGTGTAAGGCGGCTACTTGAGTTCAAAGGGGAAAGTGAACAAAGGATAGTTATGAGAGACGTTTTGTTCCAAGAGTGATGATAGTAAGAGACTTTTAAAAGAGCGTTTGGACGTGTTCTGAGTGGGAATCAGCGTATGAGATTCCGTCTAATACGAATGTACAGGGTATACTTTATAGTCGCGAGACTCTGAGAGTCCTCGGGCACACATTGACCGAACGGTTAAGGGAAACATAGACGGAAAGTGAGTGGCGTTGAGCCGGACAGGTTAAGGTGGCGAGAACAGGAGCGAAAGTACGAAAATTGAAGAAATGACGGTATGAAACGGTTTGGTTTTGACAGGATAACGGTACTTGCGTAATTTTTCGGAACGGCGAAGTAGCAATGGGGCAAGAGTACGCGAAGAAGGGTCCAAAAGTCTATCGTAGTGTAGGTTGAGGTACATCAGTGATCACTCGGCGACTGATCCCTGGAGTCCTGGACAGAGGACTTGCGACATGGGAGGAAGGCGAAGCGTTGGGATGTAGGGACTGTAGACGTTGTGATGAGTGAAACAATGATCATCGATCATCGATCATAGTTCGAGAAGGAAAGAATATTGCATCCGCGTGACTCGGATGCGAAGCGTGATGCTTCCTCGGCATCAGTTTGAGAATTGCCTCGCGTGGTTACGTCAGCGGACGTGGCATTACATTTGGAGTTCCTGAGATCTGGGAGCCTGAGCTCAAACATCCTGAGTCCGGCCTCAGCGCTTGAAAAACCGAATAGGATCGGGCCAACGGACAGGACTGCTTGGTGCTTCAAAAGGATGATGCGGCCATTAGTCTAGTAGCAATGGCCTCGTGGGGAATGTAGGGACACCGAGAACACTCACTTCTCTCTTCCGCCTAAGATTCAAAAATGGTCGACCATGCCTGGTCTGATAAGTAAGTTTATTTTCGGTCTCTTTTTGAAATATGCCTTGTTTTGATTTTCAGAAGAAACTCGATTGGGAATTTCCAAATTAAAAATTTCCTAAGGTTTGAATCTGGATCAACACCTTCGCCTGGCTCGAGGTCGCTGACCTGATCTTTGAGATTGGGCTAGACCGAGCATTAGCTTTGGATGGGACGCAATCAGGTAGAGCCACCTGGGAGAGCAGGATATCTATGTACGAATTCGATCGACTCTTCGAGTAGCTTCCAAACAAAAGTATGCAGTACATGTACAACAAGGATGCTCGATTAACAAGAAACATGAAGTGTGAACTGAGAGGAATTAAAAGGAAGTGGTGGAAGGGAGACTGGTAGATATGAAGGAAAACCCGTGGGTACGAGTGAGGAAGTGCGAGACTCTGGACGTCGTGGCAGAAAAACGAAGGAAGCGAACAGCGCAAGGACTCCATCCTGGCCTGCAGGCTGAGACTGTATGGTACCGGAACATTCCGGCAGGGGTCGTGTGCTGCTCTCCTCACGCCTACAGGGTACGTTTGCTCAATTTTTTTCACAGTGGACACTGTCGTATCAAGAATTTAAATTAGTTGACAGGACTACCGTGACGGAGTCTAACTATTTGATTTCGATAGGTTATTGATCTATCATGTTCAGAGACAGGCAATCCCGAATTTCAGCTTTCTTAAATTCTCCAGAACGTCAATCTCCTCGCTCCAGCTCAAATGTTACAAGATCTTCCTCTCGTTCTTCCATTGCTTCCAGCGATGAACGCGCGCTTTTCCATGATACTAATCGCTCCCCTGTGATCCTCGGCATCTGTGCAATGGATATCAAAGCCAGATCAAAGGCTATGAGAGAAATACTCACACGACTCGTAGAGAGAGCCCACGGCGCTATTCAAGTCAAAGTTTTCGGTGATAAGGTTATCCTTGACGAGGGTATGTTCTCTCTCCTTAATACCGCCACTGCCTACTCACGCTCCTGTCAGATGTCGAAAATTGGCCCCGCTGTGATGTACTTATTTCTTTCTTTTCCACCGATTTCCCCCTAGACAAGGCCATATCTTATGTCAAACTGCGTCACCCCTTCTGCATCAACGACCTTGTACCGCAAGCCTTACTATGGGATCGTCGTCTGGTCGGAGCTATTCTCGACCATTTACAGGTCCCGACACCTAAGCGACTAGAAGTTTCTCGCGATGGTGGTCCTCAAGTTGATGCAGAACTCAAAGATGCAATGTCCAAGAAGCTTGGCGTCACATTGGGTGGCTTTAGAGTGACCCCTGAGGTTTCACTTCGCCAAGATGAAAATGCCATCGTCATTGACGGTCAAGTCCTGGAGAAACCCTTCGTAGAAAAACCTGTTAGTGGTGAAGACCACAATGTTTATATTTATTTTCGTGGGGGTGGGGGGCGCCGCCTCTTTAGGAAGGTATACATCGATTTAATGGGCCCTTTACGCATCCATCGACTTATCTCTTCCGCTACTAGGTCGGTAATAAGTCAAGTGACCTTGATCCTTCATTGAATCATCCGCGGACGGACGGATCATATATCTACGAGGAGTTCATCGACGTCGATAACTCTGAGGACATCAAGGTCTACACGGTCGGCAAGGATTACTTTCACGCTGAAACTCGAAAGTCTCCTGTGGTTGATGGCGTTGTTCGTCGAAACACAGAAGGCAAGGAGATTCGGTTTGTCACTCAGTAATTTGTAATCCCATCACTCATGGATGAATTAGGTTTATTACCCATCTGAGTGAGAAAGAGAAGACGTACGCGGCGAAAATATGTCAAGCATTTGGTCAGAACGTTTGCGGCTTCGACATGCTTCGATGTGAGGGAGGCAAGAAAACTCAGATCATCGATGTCAACGGATGGAGCTTTGTCAAGGGAAATGAGGGTTATTACGGTAAGCGACGATGAGATATCATATCTAGTCGGCTTCATGTCTGATTATCGCTACTTAGATAAGGCTGCCGAGATCTTGGCTAACCTGTGCATTCACGTGTCATCCTCGCCAGAACGTCCGGTACCCTCAGCAGATACTACAACCAGAGGGCAGCCACCAACATGGATCCTCAAGGCGAACGTAACAGTCTTCCGACATGCTGACCGCACGCCCAAACAGAAGTTGAAATTTAATTTTCCTATCGGTGACGTATGGACACAGCCTTTCGTTCGGCTACTCAATGGAGAGAAAGAGGAGATCATCCTTCGTGAGACATCTCAACTGAACCTCATCGCCCAAGCAGTCGAGGAGGCAAAAGCTCTGGGCGCGGGTGGCGATGACCTGGCGAAACTCACGCAGCTCAATACTGCGCTCTTCAATAAGATCAATCTTCCTGGGACTAAAGCGCAGCTAAAGCCAGTGTATTCGAAGAGACAGGCTGGACAGGCAAGGAGATTAACAAAGCTGACACTGGTCTTCAAGTGGGGCGGTGAAGTGTGTTGACTCTTGTATCATTCATGTTGATGCGAATTTCTTGGGCACAGTTCACGCATTCAGCAAGATACCAATCCCGCGACCTGGGAGAGAATATGAAAAAGGATCTGACCATTATGAGTAAGTACATCAAGATGAGGAGAATGGTATAACTGACCTTCGTGTTTAGATAAAGAGGCTCTTCAAAATGTCAAGGTTCGTTTGAGATTTGCCTATAGAGACAGTGGCATTCTAAATTTACAATCCAGATCTATACCTCATCCGAGCGCCGCGTGATTGCATCCGCCGAGATTTTTGCTGCAGCACTCGTCGACAACGCCTCTTCGAGTTTTTCCGCTTCTTCGTCGACTCCTAGCAGCTCCCTTTCCTCTCGCTCCTCCCAAGATGGCAGATTAAGCTCACAAGGGGCAGCACCTCCGGAACTGATCATTCGTAAAGACCTTCTCGACGACTCCAATGCAGCCAAAGACTTGATGGACGACGTGAAGAAACGCCTAAAGATATTGCTGAGACCCGGTGAACCTGAGAAGCGTCCTGAGCTCACATGGCCAAAGAGCATGAAAAAGGAACCGGTCGAAGTTGTCAAGGTCCGTCAGCGCATTGCATGTACATAGGTTAGTCAAATGCTCATGCTACATCATCACAGGAGGTTATCGAACTTTTGAGCTCCTTCCGGGCAATCATGCACAAGAATTTTGAGACTATGGATGTAGACACGATTCAGGAACGATGGTATGAAAATTCATCGACCTTTGGAAAGTGTCAGGTTTACGAATATCTGTAGGTGTTGCGATGATGAACCTTGGTTGTTCAGAGAACGCTGGGACAAACTGTTTGAGGATTTCTGCGATGTCGAACAAAAGAAGTTTGACCCCTCTCGTGTAGGCACCTTGTCATGTACGCTCACCTGGTGACTGATCCATGTTGATCTTGCAGGTCTCTGAGCTTTACGACACCATCAAGTATTGCGCACTGCACCACCGAACATTCCTGTTCTCCATCTTCGACCAAAACGCTGGCCATGGCCAGGATCCGAGCCAGACTCAAGACCGCAAGTTGCATGAACTCTACGGGCGTGCTAAAGCCCTGTTTGATCTAGTGGCGCCTCAGGAATACGGCATTGAGGCTGATGAAAAGTGTGACTTGATGAACCATGACTCGTTTGTATGAAGTTGAACTTTGTACAGGGAGCAGATTGGCGTTCTGACTTCATTACCACTACTTCGGAAAGTCGTAGAAGACCTGGAGGCTGCGCGAAACAATGGCGCCAGTTCCTTGACCCTTTATTTCACCAAAGAAAGCCATATTCATACGCTTGTCAATCTCGTGCTGCATTCCGGCCTACCAATTGCGAATAGGCGGATACCCGAGTTAGACTATTGTGTAAGTTCGGTTCATATCTGGGCATGGAAGTATACTGATAAAGGATTTTTTGTAGTCCCATATCACGTAGGTCAATTCTTTGTATCCATTTGTCGACTAACTTCCCTGACCGCCGTTTGCCGACTTACTTCCCCCTAGATTTGAACTCTACGAACGCAATTTTGGACGCGGGAATTCTGATAAGGAATATTCGATTAGACTCTCCCTTAGTGAAGGTGCTCACTCGTCGAACGTCCTGGACTCCACCTTGGATGCACGTCATTCTTTAAATGTACAGCCTCGAAGGTGGCAAATTTCAGTGATCATTAAATTCGCCCCATGGAGCTAATGACTCTTCGTAGAAAATTGACGCAACACCTGCCATATAGTCTCGTGATCGAGAAACTTTCTAAGCATTTCGGTAAAATGACCGAGGTACGTTTCAATTAGTGTACTGGAACGCATCTCACATGCAAGTGACACTAGCAGGACGATGACACGGGAACCGATACTCCATTTGAGGCAAATAAATTCCGGGGACATTTCCCTAGTATCAACGATACTAATAGCAGCAGCGACGATAGATGAATACCCCGTTGTCACTTCGAGTTATAGACTCCGGGGTGGCGTCTGAATCATGATAAATACAACTATCGCGAGTAATTGCGCCTTAATGCGACTATATTATTAGATCCCCGTAGTAACTTTGCGTATGGTAGGTGTGTGGATGACTAGTATACCATACTTCGAATAGTAGCTCGTGATGTACCATGAATGCTCATTTTGAATCTTCTGTATGAACGGAAAGGGTTCCGAGTACTTGGTCAACTTCGTTTGGTTTCAAAGGGGTGAACCGTAACGAGTGGTTCTTTTTTGAACCTGAAGTGTCATAGAGAGCACTGGGAGATTGAGAGAGCTCTGCGGATTGCTTTGCTAACGTCGCGAAAGACGTTCGATTGTCGCGATAGCTGTCTACAACGTGAATACTATTCTCTAGTGTGGCGAGGCTTGTCGTCACTTACAGCCTACAGAGCTATCAGCGGGAACATTCATTTTCAGGACGTTTGTAACTCACTTGAAAGCTTCTTTGTTTAAGACATCTTCCTCGTGAAGCTTGTCTAGAGTGGGCTCCTTGAACGTGCTCTTCATAAAATGCAGAATATGATGTATCTGATGTTCTTTGGGTCTGGACACAAGCATTAGCTCCTAGTCGACCTATAGCAGAAGGTGACGAACCTCCATGGTCGGAACCGAGGTGCAAGACTGTAAGCTCCAGTCCGGGGGTCGACGAGGGGATGGAAAATGTCCGTCAAGAACCGTACTGTCGGTGGTCGTTCAGGATAGTCGTTGGGAAACGTTACGGTGAACTTCAGCACAGAATCCTGGTAGTATCCTGACAATAATATGAAACCGGACGGCGCACCAGTAAGTATGAAGAATGCTGACCTTTGTGCACAAAGAGAACGGCATCCCAGACTAGGGTGCTCTCCACAGAAGGAGTAATGTACATGCCAGTTGGACAGTGATTGATGTTTCTCAGCGATGCATACTGGAAGTTGAGAGTGGCGCGAGTCGCTGGACTTATGATGGATCCTTCGGGGTGTACTAAGTCTGCGGTTTGGACAATCTTTGTTGAAACACTCCTGCCTTTGGCAAGACCAAGGTCGATTGTGGGGGAAGAAACGAGACTAGCACTCGGCATGTTCATGTGTCGACGGCTCAAGAAAGGCAATCTGCTTTCATACGGTCTGAGTTAGAGGTAACTTGAACGTTCTTAATTCTAATCAACAACAAAGCTTATGAGCGAGGGCAGGTCGGAGCACAGTGAGCACCAGTGCAATACTAGGTATATCAATGACGCTCAATTGACAGGCAACCTGATGACGGTAACTTTAAGCGAAGTACTACCAGGATCTGCTCACGGTTGTTCACTAGGGTCGCTGTCCCACATATGCGAGACGGTGACCCTGGTATACAATCCGACTCCTGAACCGAGGCAAGCTCGACTTCAGGATTGAAATCATCTACTGGTAACCACCTTTGTACCTTGGCCCACTGCTCCCCCGTCCATGTCCCCGGTCTCGGTCTCTGTCTCTGTCTCTGTCCTTATCCCACTCTCGCGAATCTCGTCGCTGCCGCTCTCGGTCACGGCCTGGGTCTCTACGAGAATACTCACCATCCAGGTCTCTAGTATTATGTGACGCTCCACGTATGCGGTAGGACTCTGGTTCCTTTGATGGGCCGTGGTAGTCACCGTTCCGCCGTCGAGGACCGCGGTGAGGGTTATCTCCTAACCGATCAAGAAGACTTTTGCGAGGTGAATCTGATGGAGGTGGCATGAACTGGCGTCCGACGTCCTTCATCGAATTGCCAAATTTTAGGGCTTTTCTACCATTTGACGCAGGTTTGTCATTCCCGCGGTTCTTCACATTACGGGGATTATTGAACCAGTCCCCTGTGTCATCATCTTCTTGATCTCTGAACCTCTTTGCCATCTTCTCCTTGTCTTTGTTTTTCCCTTGTTTTCCAACATTTGCAGGTGCATCCATACCCCAGTCATCGGGCAAGGTAGGTCTGTCTTCTTCATTCTGCAACTCTCGCGGTCCACGGGGAATGCGAACAGGCTCTGATGTCGGGTCATAGAATGGTCCAGACATAATATTGTGCAAGCTGAAAGCTGACGGTTCCGCGGGTATGTCAAAGACAAAAGCGACTTCATCGCAATCCTATGAGACTCTGTCAGAAGACGAGTCGGGACTGGCAAGAATACATACGTCTCCCAGGTGTCCTGGATTTCCACAATTATAACAATACAGCTCCGATGCAATGTATCCCTCGCTTCCTTTTCCAAATCCAAGTTTCTTTTTTTCCTCCCTGGTCTGCATGATTTTCACGCGATCCTCATCTGCAACGTACTGGTATATTCTCCACAGTGTAGGACATTCCTTGTCCGAAATTGGGAAATGAACGGCAAAACATTGAAAAATTGAATTACTATCTTACATTCATCTTGTGAACCTTCGATGAGCATCGGTCGCAACAATCAATCATATCTGCTGCGAGCCTTGAATGCGAGAAACGATTTGGGCAGGTCTGAAATCCATAAGACTGGATGTAAGACAGATTACAAAAATTTTCACCTTATTGATATGACCTTTCATCCCACAAGTGTAGCAAGTCTTGCTAATAGGACAGCTCCGCGTTGAATGTTCGTCACGAGCACCACAAGTCAGACACTTCATAGCAAAATTAGCAACATCAGACTGAGGCATCCAAAAAAACTGACCACTTGAATCGGACATTCATACGTCTTATGCTCGCCCTCTGCACCGCAATTCTTGCATACAAAACGTGATGGTTTGGCGTGAGCAGCTTCCTCAACTTCCGTATCGAAGTATCGAACGAGCCCGGGTGCCTACGGAGGACATGAGCGACTTATCGTAATCATAACCACTGATGGCTGCACCTTCCTATCTTCATAGTCGAGATATTCGATGTAATCTTCCTCCTCAGAATCGACAGGTAGTTGGGGAACGATTTCAACTGGCACTGCACCATCCTCGCCAGCGCTCAAGATAGACACATGAGAGGGTAGTAGAAGTCGGTCTGCCGCGCTTTTGGAGCTCTCTGGTTGGGAATTCGAACTTTGGGTAGGCTCTGTAACCACGGGAGCAGGGGTGGCGTCGAAGAAGAACAGTTCCTGGTCAGAAAATGTTGGAACTGGCGAGCGACGTCTTGGAGATGCTGATCGCCTTTGAGGAACAGTCTCAGCATGAGAATCTGCAGTACTTCGACGCTCGAGAGACTGATTTCTCGAGCTGGTAACACCATCGCATGTAGGGCCTTTGGACTTTGTCCGTTTTCGTGGCTTTCGCTTTGACTTTTGCGAGGGAGGATCTTGCTGGTTGAGAGAGGCCGTAGGTATTTCTCCGTCAGATAATATCTCGATAGGATCTGATGGTGGGGAAGAAACCGTTAGGTCTATGAGTTCAGGCATTATAATGGCGGATAACCAGTGGCAAGGCCTTGCATAAAAAGGTGTAAAAGATGTGTTGCACCTTCCCGTTAAACTAACTTAAAGGCTGACGGGCCGCAATTGCACCCGCCTAAAAGGCAAGGCTCAAACCTTGCTGCTGCAGCAGTTCAACTCCGAACGTAGCAAAGCCTCTGGATCTGGGACTTATAACAGTACATAACTTTCACTTGATAAGGACGGAGAATAATTGCAGCTGTTCTGCCAATCGCGTCTACAGTGTGGTACAGTATACTTACCGGGGCTTGCAGTCCTGTTGCCTTACACATCCGGATAGAAATCGTTGTATTTAAGGCGGTGCATGTTGAATACAGGTATGGCTTGTAGTGCTATTGCTACAGGTTGTTGAAACTGAAGGGATAATGATAGTGTTGCGAGATGGTGCAGATGATGTGTCCACGATAGAACTTAAGGCAGCGTGGTGGTGTCTTAATGACTATAATCATATCTTTGAATGATCGTTAATATTATAGTCAGGGATTAGTTGCAACAGACCACACCCACTTCTTGTAGAACGTCTCAGAGTCTGAAGGGACGGTCTGAAGTTTTATATATCAATCAAGTTGTGGCTCAATGAGTGGGATTAAAACAAACCTCATTTCTCGCACCACGACCTTTCCGTCCCTGTTTCTCAAGTTCTCGGCGGTATTCACGGTCCTCTCTAAGCCACTGCAGAGCAGTGTTGTATAATGTGGGGGTCTGACTCAAAGGGCCGTTGGTAAAGCCTGATGGCCACGCAGTGGGTTCGGTGGCGAAGGAACCGAAGCGCATGTGGGCGACGTGAGTAGGGAATGAATTGAGTCCGTCAAAAATATGCGTTGCGTCTGTGTGCATATTTGAGAAATGCTGAAGAAGTAAAGAACTTCCGACTCACAAATAATGGTAGCTCCACGGGCGATACTGTCGTTTCGGAGGAACGTAAGTAATTCATCACGAACCATGACATCAAGGTCAACAGTCACCTGCACGCGCGTCGCTCAGACAACGTCACGGATATGGCATGAAAGAACGTACTTCATCTAAGAGAAGAACATCCCATGGTGCCATGAGGCCCATGCAAAGTTGGACGCGGCGACGTTCTCCATCGGAAATTGTATGCATATGCCAGTCTAAGTCCACATCTAGAATGTCTAGAAGTTTGTTTCTCCTTTCTTTGTATCTATATCCTCCCACGGAGTCCAAGAAGGTGGATACCACGATATCACTCCGGACTACTGGATTCATTGCCCTGGAGAACAATACAATTGCTTGGATGATGAATTACGGTTGTAATGAGAGTGGAAAAGTACCGACCACTCCGTGCCGAGGAAGGTCACGCCGAGCGGGGAATCTCTGAAGACATCTAGGCCTTTGATACGTATCTCAGCATCATTTACCAGTCTTTTACCCGCCAAAATTTGCAATAGGGTAGATTTTCCGGCTGGGTAAGAGATCAGTAAGGCGGCAAGGGCCGCAAGCTACCACTTACCTCCATTGGCGCCAACCAAGATTGTTCGGGACCCAGGCCGAAGATGAAAAGTGATGTTATCCAATGAAGGGGGCGCATTAGGAACATGACGGTAGGTCAGACGCTCGACTGTGATAGCGCACTCAGCGAGACTAGACATTATGATTCCTAATAGTGGGAGGGAGTGGTAAGCAACAAACGGAAACAATTACTAAATAGTAGAGTTAGATAATTAAATAATTAAATAAAGTAAATAATTTTTTGTACTTCGAGGAGCATGAACGTTGAACTCTACCTGTACAACACAGTTCGTAGCAGCACTCACAGGTAAATATTATAAGCTGCTCGTTACAACGGCCCGAGCGCTGAGCGTTGTTGGTTACCCACAAAAGTAAGCTTGTGCTAATAAAAGATGTAATGATCACTTATAATAGGCAAGTCATGAGTACACTCATCTGTGTTCCTGGTCGCTGTCAAACACCAAATCGTGGGAAGACGCCTGTCACTAGGCTCGCCTTTGGAGTTTCAACTTGACTAGCACAGGCCATCCTTCTCATCCTTCCACCATCGTTGCTTGCAGCGAGCAGCTGTGGCAGGAATTTAATAGACCTAATTATCAAAACGAAACTCGGTTTCAAAATTTCATCGAATCACACTCATTTAAATTTACTGTTTCTCTTTTCTGCAGTCTGCAGATCATGTTCTTAGATACCAGACAATGTGTCACTTGCCCTACAGCTCCCCCATCTTGCACTTGCTCGGCTGATCAGAGCTGCATCCAGATAACTAGGTCTGTTCATTTCAATCAGTAAATCAGTTTATATTTGACGTCATTCCAGAACTTGTAATGCCTGCCCAACATCTACTTGTCAGGCAAAGACCACCGCTACTTCTAGTAACAATGGGGGTGTCAGCTCAGGTGCACTTGCAGGTGCAGTCATTGCCATCGTTCTGGTCCTTGTAGGAGCTTTGGTACTCTATTTCTGGTACCGTCGTCGTGCCAGTTCCCGTAAGGCCCTAGAGCAGGCACAGGAAACCAAGGACGAAGCCCCCGCCCCTGCAGAAGCAGTTCTCAATCGGCCAGATCCAACTGAAAAGCCGCAGCCACCGATGCCTTCCGACCCCAATACTGTTAGAGTGTTCGTTTCATCGTCAGACAGCGTCATCGACCTCGATCCGCAGTCCCGGGGTCCATCCGCGACCGGCACCGCCTCTCTCAACGTACCTACTACTCAACCTAATCCCTTTGACGATGGTAACTCTATACAGACCACATCGACGGGTACAAATGGCACAAACGTTATCCCTATTGCCCTGGTATCCCCCGGCTCTGCGTCAGCTGATTCTGTGACACCTTCATGGCCTTCAGGATCTGCCGCAACCTCTTCTCCTGTCCGGCCTGCTCGGGCACCCGACCTGTCCTTGAATGACAATGCTTCTGCAGTGTCTGACCAATCTTTGCGTACTCCAAACCCGGGTTACGCACAGAGTCAGCGCTCAGGATCGTCGAGGATGTCATACATGTCAAACGCAAGTTATTCTAGCGACTTCCTCAATGAAGCACCGATGATTATCACGCAAGGCCAAGGTGTTCGGCAGGTTGTGGGAGTCGTTAAAGCAGAAGTCATTCAAACCTCTGGTCCATCCACACCAGTATCATCGCATTTATCCGTGAACAGTATTCCGTCGGTTGTTTCTCGCCCTTCGATTCGTTCACCCCTTGCAGCCAGCTCTTTTGGCCCTGCTGATGCCTTGGATGAGACAGAGGAAGAACATAATACATCGCAGCGCACCGACCCGTTCGGGGATCATCACGAATTCGAAGTCCACGGTGACATCTCAAACCAACCACGTCCAGTGTCGGAAGTTTCTCTCCAATTACCCCGTCTCCCGTGGTCCACCAATAACGGAGAGAGTCGTCCATCCAGCATCAGCACTCAGGCCGGGTCTATCATAGATATTAGCAGTGCTACGCGTGTCAATGTTGGACTACTGTGCCCAAAGAACCCCGACAAGTCGCCCAGGACAACCATGGGTAGACTGGTATCACCGGCCTCGGCGCAGACTTCCCGCCAGCCAACATCCCTTGAGGAACAGCAGCAATTAGCTTTGGCACACGCACATGCACAAGCCCGCGCCCAGGGCTTGGATCGCAAGCGAATCTCAGGCTGCTCGGTTGTTTCTGCCACCTCAACGCGGGCAGATTCTATTCTCGAGTCATTCCCTTTCGTCCCTCCTTCGCCCATTTCATCACTTCCTGTCCGTTCTCCGCCGCGTTCTCCTCTGCACCAACGGTTCTCTGCTACACAGTCACAGCCCCCAGTCTTTGAGGGAGCATCTCTTTCACCATCCCCTGCACAGGTGCAGGATACCACCCCTTCAGACGTACCAGAATCTGCAGAGACCCAGCTGCCCCCGTTAGACCCCCCTCCCAGCCGCCGGACCTTAGGGACTGTCCACAGTTTCTCAGGTTTCCACGGCATCATCTGGTCTCGGACCATTCCCATTCCAGATTGATTCTGGAAGTCATGACGGTAGCACAGCACCATCTGCTTTTCAAGGACGTCAAAGAGCCAGCTTGGACACGCTTGCATTGATGAGCGATTTGTCTTCATATCCTCTTAGCTACGACCGGGATGAACGAGAAAGCTTTTCTCGACAAATTACTAAGGGTTGAAGAGCCAAGATCTGTGTGCTCTCAATGTGGACGCCATGTTTCTGGACCGCTTCGACCAGCTGGCCTGACGGGGTTGTGTTAGGGTTGTGTACATGAACTGTTGTATTCTGGGCTTCTTCCTGCTATACTTGGTATGGGCTTTACTGCTCTCGGTTTTTTGGAAGGTTTTATCTAGGTAGTGCTCACAATTTTACTTGCTAAGTTCTGCTTCTTCGCTGAACGATTTTCTTTTTACGAAGGAGTTTTATTCTTCGGTCTGCGTTGGTCATTTATTTATACATTTTTATGTTTTAGCTGCAATATTGGCTAATCCCGTCTTGTGACAAAAATGTCACATTGCAATATCATCACACCTTTGAACTCGATACAATAAAGCAGCGCTGAAGGTGTATCTATCACCGTGACCGTAACGGTATACATAACAGTCTCCTGTAGCCGCCATGGATAGAGAGGTCCGACAACTGGTGGAGATGGTAAGACCTGACTCCGCGATTCCAGCCCAGTGGCATATTAACCGGCTGGTAGGGTGCGTCAGAAGCACAAGCTCAGGCTGCTCTTCGTCGGTACAAAGATGTAATGCAAGCAGCCGAGCGGATCTTCGAAGGCGAATTTGCCGACGTAGAAGAGACGGATGAAGATGTTAGTATGGAGTCTGCTGCCTTAGTAGCGCCCATCACTCCATCACGAACGCCCCGTAGTGCTGTATGTAACTCATTGCTATTCGGGAAAACGGTCTTCATCAGTTTCGATTAGACACCGGACGAGGATGGAGAAGGGGATGACGATAATGACGTAGACATGGACGATGACGATGACGATGACGGGGGTGAGTAGCTTCCTGGATACTACCCTCTGATACATCAATCGCCTTCCAGCGGATGATTATGTCGACTATGACTCTGATTACGATGAGAAGGCCAAAACTGTGGTCGAAGCCGATCCATACGCTGGCGAGTGCATTTTTGGGTTTTGTTCTTCTGGTGTTTGATGTTTTGATGGTTTTGAAGGTATCTTCTTCTCGAAGGATCGTCGCGAAGAAGTTATCGAAGTTGAAGAGGAACCTGAGACAGCCTTCATACCAGACACCAACGAGCAGGTGAAGATTATGACTCAGGGTCAGTGGATGAAGGGTTGTCCAGAGGGCGGCGAACAGGGTTTCTTGTTCGGTCTCTACAACGAGCTAAGCGGCGGCGACTGCATTTGCCCCCAATCATGTGGATATAGGATCCAGAGATCCAAGAGTAACTTCTTCGCTATTTTTGTGTGTAAAGCTGTTTCCCCTAGAAAGCTGAGAGCTGATTTGCATGCAGCCAGATTTCTTGCTGTATACCCGACATCTTCGCCGTGTCGTAAAGCGCACTTGTCCTTCATGCAAAGCGGATTTTTGTTTCGCGTGTGGAGAACCTATCAACACTGGAAGCAATCGTGACACTTCCTCTTCGGGTGATGATAATCTATTCCATTGTTCCAATCTGCAAGGCGTTATATTGGGCATCGGGCTCGCTATGTTGGAATCCACGTTCTCTGAGCAGCGTCAACAATCCTCCGAAGAGAGTTCTCAGAAATCAAAAACGAACAAGAGACGGAAGACGGATTTGCACTCTTCTTCGTCTACTCCGAAAGGGGACGATGACGAAGATGATAGCTATTATATGTCTTTGCCAGTCGGGAAGAAGTCGAAAGGAGGCGTTGGTTATGCTGGAGATGTGAAGGAAGATGTGAGTTTTCATGTGAACATCATCAGTAATTATTTTCTGAGAAGACGCAAGACTTCTGGCCAGTTGGAAGCTCAGGCCACCCAGCGTCTCAAAGATGAGAAGATCGGTACGATACTTTCCCAAATCCGCGAATATCTTCCGTCTCTGCGCCGAGAAGGAGGTGCACGAACCAGCGACTACATGGTTCACCCTACGGCTCTTGCGCATCTTCGCAGACGCTTTAACTATCTCTGCACCACTCTACTCAGGAATGATTCCCTCTCAGACATGTCAGATCGTTCTGTGCTGTACTTTGAGTTATTTGAATGGCTCGAGGTAGCGCACCATCACATCATACATTCAACCGCACTATTGATACCTCACTACAGACTATATCCAACCATGAAGCATTGGCAAGTATGATGGCGATGCCGATCATGGTGGTTTCCTCTGTCAAATCTGTCGCACCCAAGAAAGTAGCCAAGGGTAAGGCACCCATACGTGAACGAACCATCATCTATGAAGGTAGTGCTGGCCCCCGAGAACTCTTGGAAGCAATTGTCATCCAAGCGCAAGCTGCTATCAAAGGATTGGAAGGTATTAAAACACCTGACCCAGAGGTGCTTGAGATGACGGAGGAGCAGAAACGCATGACATCGTCCGCAAAGGGCAAAGAGAGAGAATTGACCCCTTCTTTGTCTGATGAAAACCAGAGGCTACTCTTGTTTTGTCAACGGATCTTGGCGACTGCAAGTGCCATTGATCGCTCACTGCGCGAGACCAAGGGTGACGCATTTGTTGACCGATTACACGCTGCACTACCAAAGATCTCATCGGAACCATTCGACCATTCATCAATTACTCTTGCTACGACAGATGAGGCACGGAAAAAGGCTTACGTGGACTGGGCTACTCAAGTTCGATTCGAATATTGTGACCTTACTGTTCCAAAAGAGGAAGACAAGAAAGGGGCGGTAGAAGAGAGCTTGCCCCATTACAAGTTCTATTATAATAGCGAGGCCCGAATGCTTGCCACCTCGGACATCCCTAAGCGTTCTCTAGCTATCGCAAAAGAGGTTTTGTGGGGTTTCTTTTGCCAAGGTTTTTTTTGACTTAGTCGATCACGCAGCTCGCCGTTTTGACGACGAATCTACCTGTTGCATGGGATTCCTCGGTCTTTTTGAGAGTCGACGAGAATCGGGTAGACATCATCAAGGCGCTCATCATAGGTCCAGAAGGAACTCCGTCAGTATCTGTTTTCTGCTCTCTTGAGCTTCTCTTACTTTTCTTTTCTAGGTATCAAGATGGCTGGTGGGTCATTCGCAAAATAAATTTCTCCTGCTCAGAGTTTCTGCAGTTTCTTGTTTGATATCTTCCTTGGGCCGAATTATAATCAAGCTCCTCCGAGCGTCAAATACATGACGGTGAGTGACTGCCTTAGTTCGAGTATCTATGTATCTGAGCTTCCTTGGTAGACCAACGGCGGAAAGTATCGGTTCAACCCTAATCTCTACGCAGTGAGTGCAAAGACGCAGGAAGTGATTCGTTCTCATCATATTCCAGGATGGCAAAGTCTGCCTATCTCTTCTCGGTACATGGTCTGGACCAGGGTGGGTCTCTGGAAAGTCAACATTGCTACAAGTTTGCTGCTCCCCTACTGTCTCCCATTATTCGTGCTCACACCCTACAGGTCCTTATATCAATTCAGTCCATGATCCTTTGTGAGGAACCCTATCTCAACGAGCCTGGATGGGCAAACGACGGTGGTACTCCGCAGTCAAGGCAATGTGAGTGGCTAAACTCGATGATAAGTGTTTTCCCTGACGTTGTCGTCAGACTCTTCCAACGTGCGGAGGATGGTCGTTAAGACTGCGGTAAGACCTGTGTATGATCGTCCGTCATCGTTTCTTACCTTTGATATTGCAGATGCTCGGCAACCTTAAGAACCCTCCAGAGCCCTTCGGCGACGTGATCCGTACGCACTACCGCCTCAAATCGCAGGCCATCATCACGCAGTTGGACAAATGGCTCATACTGGATGACGGTAAAGCAACTATTGGCGACTCGTTTTCCACAAGGCAGGATTCTGGCGGCAGCTCTAATGGCTTTAAGAAGGATGTCGAAGAGATGCAGCAGTTGCTTAGACAGTTGCAGGATGACGTGTTCAAAGTCGACAAGTGAGAACCGATGCGAAGCATACCCAGCATGGCAGGACCAGAAGTGAACCTCATACGTGTATTTAGGTGACTAGTCGCTATATGCCATTCGTCGACTTGTGTCAATTCATCAAGCTCAATTGAAATGTTGTATTTTATTCCATTAGGCTGTCAATATTTCAATTGTGGATGGATTTGGATACACGTCATGGTCACTACATCCATCCTATGACTCGGACCCAGGCTGAACAGTTTGACGTAGCTAGCCCTCCACCGGTGAACATAATAGTTTTGACGAAGTTCGGCTAAGCTGACCTGGCACCAAGACAACTTGGACTTGATTGAGTGCCCATGCAATGCACAACTAGGCTATATGAATATGAATAAATATTTTATTTAAACACATGCACAATTAAATAAATAAAGAATCACATGATGATATTGGTGTCACCGAAGTTCGTGTTCCAGAATCCAATTTGCAAAGCCGAGTGAAATGATGATAATATAGGCGCCAAGTTCCTCTCATTGATCACCACCAGTTCCAGAATACGGAAAACTGCTCGCTTCTAATATTTCTTTGCACGACACACGTAGCATAGTCCTGCGTCATTCGCGTCATGGTAAGTGACTCTGCTATTCATTCACTCGCAGGCGCTGCCGGTGGCATCGTCGCCATGTCAGCAACATAGTACGTAGCATCTTATTACGTGTGTGAGTGCAAATTCAAGTAGTGCTTTGTGCTCGCAGCCCACTCATAGTCTTATCGACGCGCGCTGCAGTCAACGTGAAGAATGACTCCAAGGTGACTACAAATCGAGTTGTGACATTTGCCTGCGCCTTGTTCTCACGCGTGTTAACAGAACGTAGCTCAACATTTCCTCGAGATTGTCAAGCGCGAGGGTGTCGTGGGCCTTTATAGCGGTCTGAGCCCAAGTTTGCTCGGGATAGCTGTCACAAACGGGTAAAGGTTCCCGAACGCCCCGCTTTGTGTTTTGCTCACATCATAATGTCGACAGGGTGTATTATTATTTCTATGAACGTTCACGAGGGATCATTCTGAATTCGAGGCAAGGGAGCAAGGCGCTTAATATGATGGAGTCGATGTTAGCAGGCGTTGTTGCTGGTACGCCAGCTTCGGTCACCCGCATGGGTAGTGTCATAACTTATCGTTGAACGTCCCACATTTTAGGATCAGCAACCACCATCATCAGCAATCCTATCTGGGTTATACAGACGTCCCAAGCCGTTCGAGTAGAACCCTCCCCTTCCGAATTATCCAATTCACATGCAGTGCCCAAACGGCCAAGTATCTTGCGAACAATTCAAGCCATCATCGCTAAAGACGGGCTGAACGGACTCTTTCGTGGGCTCGGCCCTGCTTTAGTGCTTGTGATCAACCCTGTACTGCAATACACGGTGTTTGAGCAGTTGAAGAACTTTTTGATTAAGAAAAGGACCTTGAAGCTAAGAGCGAGGGGCTCTGGAAGTGTGGTTGCAGTCTTGTCCGACTGGGATTTCTTTGTATTGGGCGCATTTTCAAAACTTGGTGCGCTTTCTGAATTACGGGTGTAGTTGGAATTATGTTGACAATGTGCTATGCAGTCGCAACGGGCTCGACGTATCCTTACATGTGAGCCTCAGTGCTTGACCGAGCTTTTTAGGCTGAGATCTGACTTGTACTCAGTGTCCTAAAGAGCAGGCTCCAGGCTGGGCAGGCGCGCGCAGAGCAATACAAATCTTCTCTCCATGGTCTCGCTACCATCTTGAAAGAGGAAGGCATACAAGGACTGTACAAAGGCGTCGGCAGTAAACTCCTCCAGAGTGTCTTCGCTGCTGCAATATTGTTTGCCGTACAGAGGAGAATATATGAGTTGACGAAGAAGGTACGTGTTCGGGTATCTCCGGTAGTATTGAATGTTTGGCTGAAAGGCGCACTAGGCTATCACGTCGCTGTCATGATTGTCCGCGGGGCATCAGTGCTATCATGGGTGTGTCGCATATGGCAGGTAAGGTAAGGTTTAACCATACCATTTCGTGGACAGCCGATACAATTTCAAAAGTTACAAGCATAATTCCATTCTCACGAGAAGATGGGTGATGATTGTAAGAGATATATTAGGGCTGAAGTCACCAAGCCATACAGAAGTTTTCAGAATGTCGAATTTATGGTCTGTAGTATCTTTGACTATGTTGACAACTCCGAGGTCACTGCCAGCGGTAAAAGTTCATAACATTCTTATCCGCCAGGGGTTTGGTGGGGGTGTGGTTTTGTACGTCAGAAAGATATCAATGTTTGCTGAGAAACATCCAGAGGACCGTAGTCATTGATGACCCATGAGTCCGCCCGTGATAAGGACACCGGTCGAGCAAGATGAATCAATCGTCTACCTCATCGTAACGGTGCTCGGCCGCGCCAGTTCCCGACACCTGCTTCCGACGATCAATTTATTAGTTTGATAACCATACACATTGCAATCTCTACTAGTATAGGTAAAAATGGAACGGACATAACATCATGTTCGCTATATTCAGCATCTTAGCATGCGCATGGTGAGCATTATGGGCTCGACCTCGTTCCTCACCCAGCCGAGATGCTCATCATGATGTTCACAAATCATTACCAGCCCTTCAAATGGGGTTGTACAACTAGGTGGACCTCGATCAGAAGTATAGCGTCCGGACGCGCTGGAAAACTAGGTTGAGAAAGACTAAGCCCAATGCGCTACCTCTCATCAGGCCCCGCAACATACATATATTACGGATGCGCGATAAGTCAGTAGTATGTTTCTGGTATCAGACGGAATCTGCTGATGATGCAGATGCAGAAATGATGTCTTTCGAGAGAGGTGCATGGGTGAGGGACCTGCTGATCTTCTGCTTAAAGAAAGACACAGCCTCGGATGGTGCCCGACAGATTTTGCAGATAATGCAGACGTAGGAATTAAGTCGTATGGCAGAGGTGCCTTAGCAACGGTCTTGCTAGTCATTATTGTGGAAAGGCAAGTGACACGAACTTGAGAGGTAGTAGTTGAATGCTGTAAGACTCTAGAGTCACTAGACATACCACTTTATAGAGAACTTGCTTTTGCTGTAATACGAGAGCGTGCATCCTCTGGAACGCCTGAGCCATAAGTCACAGGAAAGGGCTCGCCACTCCTAGTCTTCGCGCTCAAGCCTCACGAGCAGATTGCACCATAAAGTGGGCATGTCTATGGTAACATCCCTCCATGGCTGGCATATTGTGGTCATGTTGACAATTTAGAGGAGGTGATTGCTTACGATACAGCACTGCAGAAAGCGCCGTTCACCTCAGTTAGGCTGAGTATGGCTCTGAAATTTCTATACGTCTGATTCAGTAAGCCGTCAGTAGTGAACGGATGACTCTGTACACACATTGTATCTCGCGTTTTAAAATATGCGTCAAAGGTGACGAAGGGGGTTTAAGAATCAAAGCTCGCAAGTCTTGATCTCGTCGAAAATGACTGCTTCAGCCGGCTTATCCATGCTAAGACCTTTTAGGTATTTTCCAGAATATCTGCATTGCGCGCTTGCAAGCTCACGCCCACGACCGTGTATTGGGGGGTGCTAGTATTGAGCTCAACTGATGGTATACATCTTCGAGCAACCTGATCACCTTTTGAGGGTCAGTGTATCTGTCGTCAGTTCGAAGGGGTGGAAGGTTGTTGCGCCAATACTGGGGACCGCATGTCAAGTCTCCTTGTATTATGCAATTGCTTGACGTGCAGAAGAGTTGATGATATCCAAAAAAGCTTCAAGCCGCTACCTCATTCAAGTTTGTCATATCCGGAGGTGTGGAGAAACCATGGTTCCGCCATCGTAATTTATACTCTCGAACCAACGAGAATGACAGGGAAGAAACAGATCGTGAAAACAAAGCCTTCCTAGGAGTCAGAGATACTCTCGAATAAGCGGCATAAACCGATGACGCATGTATACGCGTGACATCGGCGTAGCATTACCTAGATATGAGATTTTATTAGTCTTAAACCAAACGAATTTCACCTGAACACACACTAGCACAACCCTGGACCGTTTCGAGCGACATGAGATGCGCGTCAGGCCTTACACCAATACCCTACCTTCACACGTACCGTCACTTTTTCATTATTGTCGAGAAACTAGGGGGCGGCGTTGCTGTCTAGAACCTTAAAGTTGGTCAGACAGCTGTGAAGGATCAAAATCGCGCCTGGTTGAGAATTCCCCATACTTCATGATCCATCAAGAGTATATAGCGAGCAAAGTATCAACAATTGAGTAAATGTCACAAAGAGCTCGCTCCAATACTGTAAGTTGGGACAGTTGATTGAACACGTGACACACGGAATTCAGAGAGCGCTTCGTTCGTCGGAGTTACAAAAAACTTCAGACAACGTTATGCTAAGGGACGCGTAAAGACCGTTCAGAGGCTACTACTTCAATTTTGGCCCAGAAGACTGGATAATTTTGATGCTCACGCGCACTGTTGCAACTGGTTAGGTCGACGGTGACATCCTCCCAGAGTGGCCCGAATTTTGACGGACAGTTTCTACTTGAGCCCAGTATATTATGCTCAATGCTCTCGATAAAATGACCGGCCGCTGGGCCCTGGCGGACTAACGTAAAATGTCTAAGAATCAGATCATGTGCAGTACGCTCATCGTAATCTTTGCATCATTCATGGAGGCACCCTCACGTTCTAGATGGTGAGGTCTCGCTGGCGATTATGTTGATTGTCGTGCCTTTACAGGGTCATATGTTGCTTTACATTCCAATGTAACGAAATCTTAATCCTTTCCTATATATTACGGTGTATGTTAATATCTTCTTCTCACCGGTTCTCTGATCGAGTCACAGTATTTATTGGCAACTAGTAGTTGCTGCAGACTTCTACTCACCTGTGTTGCTACTCGAAAATGTCGGTCTCGGACACCTTCGGTTTGCAGTTAGCCAAGGTAATCTAATCGTGCTTTTGTGCAGCCTTTTTCTAATGTATCTAATCATTGAAGTATACTAATGGTGAGTCAGGCTGATCTAGTTTTATCATTACTCACGACTCTCCCAAAGTCGCTGGATTAACGATCCTAGCAAGTTGCGTCTCTTCAGTCTCGTTATAGCTCTGATGTATGACCAGACTTATGACTACTTTGTCACCTTACACTCTGAAGTCAGACAAATCAGTCATTCACACATCGGTGCTGATCTTTCTAGTAGGATCCAATGGACCTGGGGACGGAAGTGGGGAATCACTCGGACCGTCTTCACGTTCTCACGATATGGACCTTTTGCTTGTGCGCTTATGACCTCGTACTGTGAGATACGACGCTATGCGCTACCACGCGAAAAGCTCATTCCTAACTAGCCGCTATCAAGACATGGGGCACGCAAGATGTGGGTGCACGATTTGTGCAGTGCCGATTGCAACTCACATCAACATATAGTGTGCACCTTTTAATGATGCTTTAAATGGTTGGTCCAGACTGCTTTCACGACATGACTTGGAAATGACATTTCGCAGGCCTACACTTCTTGAGCATTATTGCCGCAGAAGGTTGACTTTTGCATGCCACATTACAGCGTGCATTTACACTCGCACGACAGTTTTGTTGATTTTCAGGGTCTACGCCTTCTCTGGCAAAAAAAAGGCTTATCTTATAAGTATCCTCTTATTTGGTTCGGTACGATAACATCTCTATTCCCCTGTGCACCACTGACCTATATGGCGCAGGCCATCTTAGTGGCATCTGTTGTCATAAGTGCTGCCCCCATCAATTGGAGGATCCCAGGAGGCGAGTCTCAAGGCTCACTTCTCAGTCTCAGTATTCATCCCCTTTCAGGTTCCCCTTGCGTGATGGAAGGGGCTCATAGCAGCGCCCTTCCGTATGCACTCTTAATGTTCTTTGAGATAGGTGAAGCGACTATCTGATTCAAATTTCCTTAATTGATAATCTACTTCCAGTTCTCATGTCCACCACTGCATTCTTGAGATATCGACACTATCTGGGCTCTCATAGTGCTTTGATGAAGAGTGTTTATCGCGATGGACTACTCTACATGCTATGCATCACAAGTATCGAGGCCATTGTTATCATTGATTTCATGCTGACGTCTCTGTAGTGATATCTACAATCAATGTGATTGTTATCGCTGTGTTGCCCGTGAGTTCTTTCTTCGCTTTGGTCGATCTCAAAGAACTGAGTAAAACCCTTAGCTCTCGTACAGCGAAACGCTAAACACGTTAGTCTGGTCAAGTATATATGTCATCAAAAGCTCACATTCACCGTTTTAGACCTCAAATTGTTGCGCACAGTGTTCTTGCTTCTCGAATACTATTCAATCTCCAAGAAAGCATGGCGCAACCGCTCATACCAACCTACCGATCAGCGACTTCGATTGAATTCAATGCGCGATCTGGAGGCAATCAGACAGCTAGCCAGGCAGACGAAGCTTAAACCTGCTGATAATTTTGTAAGTCATACAAACAATGCTTGCCATTTGAGATTGCTGACTATGCTCACATATTTCAGCTTGTGCTTTCCGTGTCCTTCATATTTTAGTGGTGAGCTACTCCATCACCCAGGTGTATGCGTTCTCCATGCCAACAAACGCCTGTCGCCGACATCTGCATGTAGCCACCGCTCATCATTTCTTGTATAATTCAGATTCTATTGCAATTCAGATACTTAGTGGTGCTCTTCCAATTTTATTGGTCATGCAAATATGTGCTGGGACCACGCCTCATCCTTAGCGTTCGAGAATATCATACCAGCAAAACGTGTGATTGACTCTGACACAGAAATTAACATGAATTCGGCTGTCTTTCAGGAACGTGTACGTTTATCAACTAGCAGTATTGTGTAGGGACATACTTGTCGAGTGGTCTGTAGGGAGGAGAAATCTGGTGGAGGATCCTTCATAGTATTTATTCAATACGAGTTCAAAAGAGCCTTTGGAAACTTTACCGACGACAATAACTGTAGGCAGGGACCTTCCGTCATCGATGGATTGCATGTCCTGCGCGCACGTTGAGAGAGATATGGAGATACAAAGACAGCGAATCAACACAATAAAGTTCCAACGTAGTCTCTTCGTCGACAGTCGCGGTAATCACCCGAGCATTAATGAAATGAATGCCATCTTCAGGATGCGCCGTTTTGCCGCCGAAAACGAAGACAGAGACAGGGAGATCACCATTCCGCGGGATCAAACGTTCATATTGTAGAAGTACACTCTGCCTTGGTTTCTGCTTTGACTTATAGCTAGTCTCCTAGCTAAGAGGAAAACACAGTTAAAGTTATAAAAGTGTAACAGTCACGGTCACAACGTTCCTTCTTTCGAGGGCCAGGTGAAATTGACGCGGCCCTGCCGCGCCTGCCGCGGTCGTGACGCGCCTGTGACGCGGCACTGACGCACCTGGGTTGCCCTATTAATAAGCCTTATTATACTTGGTAGTTACGTGTCTCGCCAACTATAATTAGGCTTGGTTTCATCAAATCCCTACACCAGCGTTAAATAGTGCCCCAGCTCCTCAAAATACCTTCAAAAAAACTATGTACACCTCACTATGGTGGGCGCGCGCGCGCGCGCATAGGCTATATTCGGTAAGCATCCCGCCCCGCCTTAATTGCGTCATATTCCTATTTTAATTCGGCACGCTCGGCAACGCCTACTACGCTTCCTAATTCGAACCAAGGGGCCCTTCTCACGCTTCCTAGCTCTCCTCATCACTGTGCTCATCGTCCCTGCCGTTCCCTGCCTCCATCGTGCCCCCATTGTTCCGCCTTTGTCGTCGTCGTCAACCTCCTTCGTTCCTGCCGTTTCCCACCTCCCTCGTGCCTTCTCAACCTCCTTTGTACCTTCGTCGTCGTCGTCCTTCGTACCTGCCGTTTCCCAACTCCCTCGTGCTTTCGTCGTTGCCCTCCTTTGTGCCTTCATCGTTGTCGTCCTTCGTACCTGCCATTTCCCAACTCCCTCGTGCTTTCGTCGTCACCCTCCTTTGTGCCTTTGTCGTTGCCCTCCTTCGTATCTGCTGTTTCCCGCCTCCCTCGTGCTTTCGTTGTCGCCCTCCTTTGTGCCTTTGTCGTTGCCCTCCTTCGTACCTGCCGTTTCCCGCCTCCCTCGTACTTTCGTCGTCGCCCTCCTTTGTAGCTTTGTTGTTCTCCTTTGTCCCTTTGTAGTTTGTCGCACCTCATTGCACTGGGTTATGTCATATTCTACTTGCACTGTGATATTGTAGATCAAACTAAGATGTCATTGCACTTTTATAAAAACAAACTAAGTCTATCACGAGCGATTCCATCAAGAAATGAGTTATAGCGCAGGAATAATGAAACTAGGGACATTGCTCAAAGGGGACAGGATGGCTGAGTCTGGGATATTGTTATGGTACTGGGGTGCTGCTCGAAGGGGAAAGGATGATTGAGTCTGGGGGAATTGACATTACTGGGTGCTCGGCAGTACACCCACTCGTGTTAGAGTTCGAGTTGGCGTTTGGAGTGGTGTTGACATCCTCCGAACCATCTGGTGTCTGTCCAGCTGTACACCTAGTCGTATTAGAGTTCGAGTTGGCGTTCGGAGTGGTGCTGACATCCTTTGAACCATCTGGTGTCTGTCCAGCAGTACACCCAGTTGTATTAGAGTTCGAGTTGGCGTTCGGAGTGGTGCTGACATCCTCCGAACCGTCTGGTGTCCGTCCAGCAGTACACCCGGTCGTATTAGAGTTCAAGTTGGCGTTCGGAGTGGTGTTGACATCCTCCAAACCGTCTGGTGTCCGTCCATGACTCTGGGTATCTTCGTCGTCACTGGACTCAATGGTCTCCGCACTCTTGTGCTTCTTGCTACATCTGGGGTCAGCTATCGCATGTCGTACTCGCTTCTTACCCTTGTCGGACCATGTCCTGCGGCGGGACTCGATAATGTCACCACTGTCAATTTTTTCATTGCGCTCGCGACGGAGTTGCTCGAGTTCCTCGTCATTCAACACTTCCCACCTCGTATCGCCCGACTTCCAACAGTCTAAAAGAGTATGGAGGTCTGGAAGCGCGTTGGTCACACTGCTGAGGTTTGTGAATGGGATATGCTCCGGCCATCCTTTGATGGCGACCTGATAGCGGTTGACCACGTTACGAAAGTAGTCTGCCCACTGCATCCTGGCATTGCTTTCTCCGGTCACCTTCCCTATGAATAAAATGAATTCTGTGCTGTCAAAAGATGGGAAAGACTTACTCAATTTCTGGGTGATGATTGCTCGAATGTCTCCGCGAACCTTAGAGACCTCTTTTTGATGGTTGCTTGCGGCACCTAGTACAAATAGAAATTAACTTGAGAATGTAATAACAACGGAAAAACTGTACCTTGTATCCCTTGGATAGCGAAACCTTCCATCTTGCTGAGGAAGTCCTGAGTATCGATGCCGATGACAGAGTCCATAAAGTGATTGACACCCGGCGTTGTGAAGGTGATTGCACGGAGAGGTAGATCAGTAGTACCGCGCGTCATATACAACATGACCTCGGCGCCAGTGCGAGAATTTAAACTATTGAGCTAGTAACGAGACACTTAGTAACATTGTATTGCAATTCGAGGGTGCGTACCTCGTTTTCTACCGCCTTCAGGGTTTGAGTGATGTCGTTGATCTTCGACTTCGTTGAGACACGTAACCCAGAGACCTTGGTCTCCTTCTGGTCGGCGAATTCCTGGAGCAACTCTTGTTGTTCTTCCTGTGTGAGAGCGTGGTATTCATCCTTGTGGTCGCGGACCAGTGACTGGAGTGCTTCCTTTCCGTGGCCATTGCCTGTTAATTCAACATTGAGTCATGAAAATGCATATGATACAAATCAACAGACTTACAGTTCTCTTTCTTCGCTTCCTGAGATTTCTTCCAGCAAAATGTGTTCCAAACGCTGGGCTTTGAATGCTTCGAACGGAGTGATCCCCGACCCATGTATAAATCGTGCTGTACACGACGGAAGCTCTTGCGATGGGTAGCAGCAATGGTTGTTGTAACATCGTCAATTTGGCCCCATGCAAGATCAAGCGCATCCTTGAATTGACGCGACTTCTCGGTTCGCTGAAACTTGAGTGCCGCGCGAGCTTCTTTGCTGAGGGTGACCTTAGGACGACTACGAGGTGGTGCTTGAATGCGCTTCGCAGCATAGAAGGACTGGGAGACCATCACCCACAGAAGGATGGCAAAAATCAGCAAAGGGCCTTTGTAGTTGAATACGAATATTTTATACACACCAATGCATTTATTTTTTCTAACCCACGGCAAAAAAACAGGACACATGGCTTATAACTAAGACTCAAAAGGGGAAAGTGATCTACAGCCAAAATAATAAGATGCCGAAAAAGTATAGGCCGCATAAGAAAATCAATATACCAATAAGCTTCAAAATGGACATGAGGACAGATGACGGCTGCTATGGACATTCAATTGAGTTAGTATGACAGCAGCAGCCAAAATAATATCACTGACCTTTACAACATCAGGGCTACGTGGCATGCCCTGAAGGTCAGCCAGGAGCGCCCTAGACAGAATGGAAGCATGTTAGCCGCAGAAACTGTTGAATTTGAGTCAGTTGTGTGAACAGTGAAGCCGAAAATGATCTACTACTTACAGCATGGTGGCGGTTGGATGTTTTCGATGACACAACATTGATTGAACCGCTCGAGGTGTGGCATTGCAAACTCCTGGGCAAATACCTGCACCCAGACGGCAAGGTCTCCGCCAATTCGCTCGGGAGTTTCTTGTAGTTCGCGGGGCGTAATGTAGAGGTCGACAGGGAGGTTTTCGGGTGAAGAGACTGCTTCAGACCCAGCGCATCGAATGAGGACAGAAATTCCGCCATCAAGGCGATCTTGCATACTCAGCTGGGAAACAAGTGAGACATAAATAAGATGCGGACACTGACTTGAATGACTCACGGCGTCGAAGACGTCTTGCAGTGATGCCTCCAGAAGCTCCTCGTGGGTAAGGGATTTTTCACTGGTTCGTTTAGCAGTGCTGCTAAAGGCAAAGTACGACGGGTGAAGGCCACCAGGCAGTCTAGCCTAATAGTGTGTCCCGTCAATGTGAACGTCGTGTCTCAGTAAAGCCCTGGCGGCCGCTTGACGTTCGTTATTGCTGAATCCTTGAGCGAACGTTGAGTTGTGTAGATTGGCAAGACTGGGGATGGCGAATTTTTTAGTGGCTGATTCCGTGGTTTGACTTGAGGGCTGAACGGAGGTGATAGACGCAGTGGCTCTGAGGCTAGAGATTGGAGTGACCATTATGGAACCGGTGATGTAGTCTGTAGTTGTGAAGCAAGGTTAAAAGCACAGATAAGCGCCAAAACGTAAAATGTAATACTCACTTTTGCAGGCCATGCAATTCTGGAATGAGTTCCAGAAGCACAGATCAAGCATGAAATAGCAGTGGTCATAAACCATGAAGAAAATGAAAGGCTGGCGACTTCAAGTTGCTGCTATAGAATTCAGCTGAATACATGTGTTCAGCAGAATATTGTGTTGTCCGTGATTTGACACTCAATACAGCACGTGAGCTCACTTTGCAAGATCGGATATCACACAACTACATAGTACAAAATAGTATACAGTGCATATTCATACAGGAATGACAAAGGACTATGCTATGAACGGCATGACACTTCAGATAGCCGCATAATCCTCCGAGTCAGGCAAAGAGTCTCCCTAACATTCAAGAAAGCCTACCAGGGGTCGCCAAACTAGCCTATCTGAATATCATCGTGATGAGGTCACCACAGGAGAAAGCTTGAGATTGCCAACTAACCTATCCAAACATCATCGGCATTCAAGTTGGTCCACCTATCCGAACATCATCGGCATTCAAGTTGGATCAAGGTGAGATCGCCAACTCACCTATCCAAACATCATCGACATTCAAGTTGGATCAAGGAATCGCGACGAGGTCACCATGCAGAAAGCTCGGGGTCGCCAACTAACCTATCCGAACATCATAGGTATTCAAGTTGTTCAATTCTTTCTTATATCACCCACACAATCACTTATACAATCGTCTACCTACTCTTTCTTATATCACCGATCAAACCAGAAAACTTCTCATATATGTAGTCCTATGCGATACATGAAAAAAAACAATTACAAAGCAGAGATGGTGTCAGTCGTTTATTGAGTACAAAAAATCAGCCATGTCTTCGGTGACCACTTCGTGCTCTTCACGGTCAAGGGCTTCAATATCATGGAATTCCGACGCAGAAGAATCAGGATTCTCTGCTTGTGCTGTGGCGAGAATTAATGCGATATAGGTAGTTAAAGATCCACACTCACCGGAACTAGCACCGTTGGTATTGACTGGTCTGCTGAACGCAGGATTCGCAAGGCGAGTTCCAATGCCACTAATACCAGAGAATCCAAATAGTCTCTCAATCTGATCTAACCGATATGTGTGCACAGCGTTGATAGCCGCCCGTGAGCGCCACTGGCGTTTCAACTCGGCAGCAAGCAAAGGGTTAGCTACAAGAAGTTTGTCGATAACGGCAGACGTGTCAATGGTTTCATCGTGGATAGCAGTTCGGAGCCGGTGAATTTCAATATTGAGTCGAATAATTTCTTCGCGAGCTCGGCAGAGCTTGAAGTACTTTGTAGTCGCCTCACGGTGAGCTGGCCTTGCCCAATCCTTGTCTTGGATGTCAGTACGAGAGTCACGCAGAAGGTCAAACTCGCCAAGGAAACTGTATTCGGCAATGTCTTTCCATGCGATCGTTTGTCTCGGTGGGATGAGGGAAGCAGCCTGGATATTGTAGCGATTGATCGCGTTGCGAATAGTGTCCGAGCGCCGCTGTAAAGCTTTACTAATCTGTTGACGTAGTTTGTATCCTAAACAATTTGTAAACGAATCAGTCATAGTACAAGCGCTTACTAGTAGTGGAAATCTCAAACCTGTGCCCGATAACGAGAGCTTTGAGAGTTCAAACAATCTCATGACGACCAAACGTTCGAGTTCATCCAATGCAGTACGATACTTGCCGAGTGTCGCTTCCTCCTTGAAATGTTTGTATTCGTCACCACCAATCAACCATCTCTCATCGACAGATAAGAGTGTTTCACAATGAGCAACAAGCCCCTCGGCATGCTGTAATTTGGCGTATGAAGAATTAACTCGGATGCGAGCTTGCTTCAGGGCGTCATGCATCTGTTCCAAGCTGCCAATATGTACTCCATTAAGAGCGTTATTGCCAGATTCACGGGCGAGATCCCATTCAGCTCTATTAAAATTCATATCAGGGGATGGGTGGTAGTTAGTAGTCGATGGCACGATACCTTCTTTCAGCGAGTTCGTCTAGTACTTCAACGTAACGTATAGAGAGTCGATCTCGTGGAGCTGGCTGCTTCAGACCATCCAGATATATGCGTTCCTGATCAAAGAATCCAGGGAAGTCGTTGTCGCTAAGGCGTAGCTCGGCCTTGATAGTTTCTAGCTCGGCTGTCAGCAACCGAACAGATTTCAACGCTTCGCGATAATGAGTCCACAAATAATTACCTGACACTGCGGCATCAGTATTACAATTACAGCTTGATTTTTTGACTTACTAAGTGCAGCATACTTATCGGCATCCCAAAAAGCGAAATGTTCCTCGATGGCTTGGTGGCGATGAAAACGGTTAGCATGCCTTGTGCTACGCGCAAGCTCGTTAGATGCAGAGAAGATATGCTCACAACCCTCGCCCTCAGTATGGCCAGTTCCAGAGATATACATTGGGTGCCAGTCAAGCTGACACCTTCGATTGTGCGCATGGCCATGGAAGGCGCCAACCATCATCCGAAAGCCGAGATCGTGTGCACGAGGGCCCAACGTACTATTAGCTAACGTCTTCGAGAATGCGCAACCGATATCGTACGCGCAACCTCCATTTTTTCCATATACCGTAAGGAGTTTGTCGATGATCGCTATCGGATATTTCGCACTGCCAGAATACATTAGTAATATAAAAATTAGATCAAAATGCGGTCTTACAGTTCTCCGCTTCGGATCATATCACACGCGAGAAGCACAAAGCGATGGCGGCATGAAGCGATAAAAATACCTGACTCTTGGAATACGGCAAACATCTTCTTACGTGAGTCTGGGCCAGCGTTTCTCCATCGATTGACGCATGTGAATGCTCCCGGATGATCCGGGTCTGTAGGCTCATCCTCCCAGTCGTCATCATTCCTCAAGTCTGTCTAAAAGATAATGTTAGAACATAGTTGTATACATAGTAAACACTTACTTGTCGGGATTTGACTTCATTCTCAAACTTGTCAACAGCGTCAGCATGAATCCAATAATCCGAACGAGCTGTGCGAGAATCAGATCGGGCGGTGGTACCATAGATGGACGAGTCCCATCGCTTCAGGCTATTGTTACCGTCAATTGATACCAGCCATTCAAAATCGAGGGCAGGTTCATCGTCGAGCTTGTAAAAGCATGCAGGGCATGTGTTTAACATACGCCAGTTGACGGTATCCCGTTTGAGCGCCTGACGCAGACGCTGGTTGATGCGATGGAGGATTTCTAGAAAAACATCATAGGCTGCCGAGAATTGCATTTTTAAGTATGGCCGATATGGAATCTACAAACTCAACGTAAATAAACGAACCTCAATGTGAGGAATGTACGTACATCGTGAAGGTAACATAAAGTCTTGCATTGTGATTGGATACTGAACCGGGGACACGTTCGGTGCGACTGACGGTAGGCAGCGAGTGTACGAAGCGAGATGGCAACAGAAGGATACATCGGGGCACACCCGATGTACCCATAGTAGATGAGGGTTTCATTCGGGTATTGATGAGACGGTAATGGTCATAGATGCGAGCGCCTTCATGCTGCAAAGAAAAAATAAGTACAAGATATCAAGGAACGTTTCAGACTTACTGAATGTATCAATGAGTTCAATCTCATTAATTGAGAATGAAGCATCGACACCTGACAGGACCTGATCTGAAATATCAGGCATACCGTCCCCGGAATCTCGACTGCGATAGTTTAAGTAGGCGTCAACGAGACGATCTATCTGAAGGCCCCAATGAGCGGTTTGAGTGTCGATGCGTTCTCCCCGAATTCGTGGATCAATGTGATGACTACAATGGGTGTTAATATTTGAAGAGTTGTACACAGTGGTGAATACGTACTATCCAGTTAGATCCGCCAGTTGATGAGCAAGGTCTTCAAATGCCTCATGCTCCCCACCTGCGTGACTGAGGTCAAAGGCCTCTTCACCTGGAGGCACTGTATGGGTGAACACCTCCACGTCCATTCCAAAATCTGCCATCATATTTTCGACGCGGCTTCGGTCCTCTGATGACATTTCTAATACAACAATAAGCGTTAATGATAAAAAAAGAAAATAGTACATACCTTGTATAGCAGCCTGGCGGCTGGAATCTGCCTCTGCCATACGCTGGCTTTGTTTGCCGGCTGCCAGGACTTTGGAATAGCGATGACCCCCTCTAAAACCATGGGAAATGATGGATTTCGAGAGCCCTTTGACCCTCCCGACACCTGAGGCACGAGGCATTACTGGGTTGGGGCGACGAAGGCACGAGGGAGGCGGGAAACGGCAGATACGAAGGAGGGCAACGACGAAAGCACGAGGGAGTTGGGAAATGGCAGGTACGGACGACGACGACGACGAAGGTACGAAGGAGGTTGAGAAGGCACGAGGGAGGTGGGAAACGGCAGGAACGAAGGAGGTTGACGACGACGACGACAAAGGCGGAACAATGGGGGCACGATGGAGGCAGGGAACGGCAGGGACGATGAGCACAGTGATGAGGAGAGCTAGGAAGCGTGAGAAGGGCCCCTTGGTTCGAATTAGGAAGCGTAGTAGGCGTTGCCGAGCGTGCCGAATTAAAATAGGAATATGACGCAATTAAGGCGGGGCGGGATGCTTACCGAATATAGCCTATGCGCGCGCGCGCCCACCATAGTGAGGTGTACATAGTTTTTTTGAAGGTATTTTGAGGAGCTGGGGCACTATTTAACGCTGGTGTAGGGATTTGATGAAACCAAGCCTAATTATAGTTGGCGAGACACGTAACTGCCAAGTATAATAAGGCTTATTAATAGGGCAACCCAGGTGCACTGACGCGGCATATGTGACGCGGCACTGTAACAAATTCCTATGTACAAATCATGTTTACACAACTTCATATCGCATTCCAAACACTTTGAATCATCGTTAATGATCAACATATGAGTGTCTGCCTGCGTACAGGCTCTATAGTGCTGTATTCACCTCTCACCAAATTTACAGTGCTTGTCCTCTGCGTTCATATTACTAGTATGCATCTTGCGCGTCAGTCCTATATTGTTGCATTACCTCTAATTCGTTCATCTATGTTGGTTTTCAGATGCAGTGTCAAATGTTGTCTCACTGTGTCAAGCTTCGACCTCACCCTGCCAAGTTTGATCCACTCTCTATACCCTGCACCAACACGTCGAGCCCCAACCATGGCATGTCAGAAGCCTCGTTTAGGCTGCGTCAAGCACTACTCACACCACGACAAGTTCTCCCAAATATCTTCGCAGTCTCTGTACTAATATCAACATCCACACTCTATGCCGCGTCAAGACCTACTACAGTGCCGCGTCAACCATAGCACATACCGCGTCAGTTGCCGCGTCACATGCGCGTCAGTGCCGCGTCAAACAAGTTGTGCCGCGTCAGTTGCCGCGTCAAACCTCCTCCATGCCGCGTCACTGCCGCGTCAAACCTCGTCACTGCCGCGTCAAACCTCGTCACTGCCGCGTCACCCGCGCGTCACTGCCGCGTCAAACTTCATTCATGCCGCGTCACAAGTAGCACATGCCGCGTCAGACCTCACCACCTCCACATGCCGCGTCAAACCTCACCACCTCAACTGTCACACTGTCCGTATAACTTAGGTACATTTTACTTTACATCTGTCATAATAATTGATATTCTAACAGTGTTCCTTTTCATCCTGACAGAATTAGACGTCGTACACTGTAATTGTCCATAGGCAGTAATAAATTTATTTTACTAAGCATTCTTTCGTTGTCTCCTCTGGGCTCGAGAAACAACCCTTATTATCGCGCTTTTGTAAATCGTATCATGGCCTTTGTGAGTTCTTTAAAATACGGAGTAAACTTGTTATAACCATCTTTTAGCAATTAATCAAACATATATTCAACTTTTTCTATCCCAACGAGACAGAGAATCAAAATTATCCAGATCGGCCGGGTCCGCTGCTGAGTTTTGGGGACCTCATACCCTGCTATGACCGTTCAGGTGCGTCATCCGACATATTCTCCTTGTGAACTCAGATTTGACAAATAGAACAGGCAATGTAATAGCTTATCTTCCGGCCTCCGTGCAGACCGCTCAGCCATCACATGACCCTGCACACTCCGTCCCAAATCCACCACCCCTCCCTCAACACATGAAACACCACTCACAAGAGTTATTCGAACTCTGCACGGACACAAAGTCTATACCACGCCGACGTGCCCGAAGTGTTAGTCCTTCTGCAGCCCGAACAAATCAACGCCGTGGTCTGGATCAATCCTCCAATTCCCTACGTCCCAAATCTGGCGGTGGAGATGAGTTATGGGACCCATGGCCGGACGGTGACTTTGAAAGGTTATTAACATGGGAGGAGGTATTAAGAACTGACAATCTTAGCGAACATTGGGCTTGTCAGCCAGGAGGAGGAGACAAGAGGGGGTCAGAGTCAGCACTTGCGTGGTCGCAAGGTAAAAAGACGAGACGTGTTTGCCTGGGTGTCATTACTTGTGATGAACCTACCTGTGAGGTAGTCACACGTCCGCAGACCCGCCGGGCTGGTATCATGGGACAACTCAATGCATCGTGCCTTTGTGGTAGTCAGCTCAAGCACATCGACTGCGGTGTCACATCAGTGTTGTATTCATTCAAAGGAGGCGTCTACTACATTCACAAGGGCATTCACCACCATCCGAAACAAACTCACATCTTGCATCTATCTCGTGACGAGCGGACAAGATTTGAACAAATAGTCTTCGAAAATCCTGCTGCTGGCCCTGCGGCATTAATTGCTGGTCGCAACAGCATTACTGGTACCCGTGAATCTGTTTCAACGATCTCCACAGTGCTTCTCAACCAGGACCGTGTCAAGGCCGAGCTGCAAGCACTACGGGGCAAGTCTACTCGAAACTTTGTTGATGACTTCGCAGAATTCCAGAAGAACCATCCAGGATATGTTTTGTATTCTCAATTCGAAGCAGTCACTGTCGTTGTTGTTCAAACTCAATTCATGGTGTCACAACTGGTGACCGACTTCATCGAGGACGAGGCTGTGAATGGCATTGTTTCGGATGCAGCACATGGGTTTTGGTACTCATCTAAGGATCTTCTCATAATTAGTTCGACATATTCTGCTTTGCTCGCATGCTGGGTACCTGGACTCATGACCTATGCAAATGGAGGTTCAGCCGAGCACTACCGATTACATTGATCTCCAACCCTAGCTGAGAATCGAGATATGGCTGATCACTCACTTATAGTGCTGGCAAAGGAGCTCTGGCTCGTCTCGGGAAGTATTGGTATCCTGTGCGGCTGATTCAGTCCTATGACACTGTTAGTCTCCCTGCTAGTGCACGCAACCGAGTACGCTGGCGGGTGGTCTGGTGGCGCGGTTGCAGATTCCCATCAAGTTTGGGATCACCTCCTGGTGATGTTGAGCAAGGAGATCTCGTGGATGAACTTTGGCAGGACCAAGCTAAGAGGCGTGAGATTCGCGTGAGTGACAGTGACTGGTTATACTCGCAGTCCTCTTGACACGAAGTATTGTGTAGCTCGGAGAATGGATCCACTCTTGGGATACTCCTCGCGAAGAAGACTTGATTCAAAACTTTATGTCAGCGGAAGTATCAAAAGAACTGGACGACATTCTACTACCACATATTGCTTCGCTTCAGAAGCTCCTTGACAGTCCAGACTTGAACCAATATGGTGCGGAGGCATACCCCGTGATAGACTACATCTTGCGATCGAAGAAGAAGCCAGATGGTGTGGGTGCATACAGCATACCGTTTTGTGGTGACATCTCATCTCACGAGTATGCCAAAATTGCACGTTGGTTCTCGGAGAATGTTCCTGGTGCTTCCGGTCAAGTCGAAAAATGGCTTGGTGGCATGCCTTTGGTGCATGCTTTCACTCTCGTGGTTGCTCACCGAAAGGCCAGTGATTTTGAAAAACGCATCGAAGCTCGAAACGAAGAATGGAACGATAGCATGCTGTTGAAGATGGCTTGGGATGATCTCATGATAAGCTATCCTACCAATAGCTTCGTGGCTGATGTCGACCTCGAGTGTCTGACCGCACTAGAAGCAAGGATGTTCGAGGATTCCGAAGAAGCAGGACCTGCAGGCAACCAGCAGTGGGGTTTGGATGCTGGCCAACATCACAGGCGATGGAATGTGTATGTCGGAATTCCTGATAAATGGGTTTCTGCAAGAGATTATAGCGAGAGTGAACTTGAAGTGAGGAAGACATTACCTGCTCCGTTCGATAGATATCTAACTTATGTGATTGACAGCGCGGCCCCTTATTCAGTGATAACTCTGATGCTACATCTTTGGAGTCTGCAGACGAGCTATCCGAAGCTGTAGTTCCTTCTCTGCCGGCCAAAGAATGTCCGCCCGTTAAACGTCGATGTGCTCCACAGGCTCGAAGGGTCCAGAGAGGGAGGAAAAGAAAATAGTCATTGGCTTATGTATACCTAGTTGTACATGGCTCTGAGGCAAATAAAATAACAAAAGAATGGTCGTGAACTCATCCAACTTGATCTGGAAGTTGAATATAGAATATAGGAATGGCGCGTCAGTGGCCGCGTCAAGGATCGTTAGTGCCGCGTCAAGGCTCGTCAGTGCCGCGTCAGTGCCGCGTCACATGCGGGTCACGCCGCGTCACGGCCGCGTCACGACCGCGGCAGGCGCGGCAGGACCGCGTCAAAATAGCTACGCCCTTCTTTCGAGGTCTGTCATCTTATGAGCCAGCCTCCATTGTGCAAGTATCTTTCCATTGATACGCCAGAAAAATAGTATTATAAGATGTCACCTCCGCTGCGCCCGAACGCAGTCGCATTCATATCACCCCAAAACCACCCGATCCTCATCCGTACATTCGAAAAAGGGGATGAGCTGAAGTACCACTATGTAGCCCATACAAGCCTCGATGTCATTGAGGAACGAAGTCAGTGCCCCCACTGTCTACTTTTTTATTCCCCCACTGATAAGAATACCTCATTCGATATTTGGCATTAGCAAATGGTCCAACAAAATCTAACGATTGTTACCTCGGCCTTCTCTACGCCATGGATGACATAGCTGCTTACGGGTACATAACACCTCTAAAAATGAAGATTGTTCTCGCTCTCCCACTCACAGACTCTGTCGTACGTGATGCGGAAGTGATCATGGTGTGTCCTTATAACTGTCGCCGTTTCTCCTCGTCCACCTGATCCATTCTTTGACACGGATGTATCTTTAGACCTTTAGAGCCCTCCACCTAGCCTACTACCATGCTTCCTCGAACCCTTTCATCCGACTTCATGATACGCCTACGGGCGTGGGGAGCGCCAAGTGGAAGCGCTTCAGACAGAAAGTAGACGAGATAAGTAGGGCTGCCAGCGGTGGGAGTGTGCCTTCTTGAACTAGTCACTGCACCAAGGTAATGGATGTAAGAAGAATCGAACTGAACTGCCGATAATGGCGCATGTCTGATTGTCATTTTGTGTGGCCCAGGTTCGCGGCTGACTCGCCGCGCTTTGCAGGCTCCGGCCATCCTTATGACAAGCGCGTGGTCATGCTACTCGTTTGTTACGTGCGGACCGAAATGGATCAAACCCTTCTATTGACTCAGATGTCTAGCGAGCACCGCGTCTGAGACAGATACGGGGTTGATATATTTCATTTCATTATCTATTTTCTCTCACTAGCTCCTCTTATGTATTATTTGGAGACGTATCTTGTGGCAATGGTGGTCAATGATGGTTTGATCCCTGCGCGCCATTCACATTTCGAACAATGGTTTTGTTGTCCAGTTCAACACATCAATAGCGTTCAAACTTCATCATTATCATTCCTGGAACCCAATTCAATTCACATGCAACCCACTCGCCCATGTTCAGCCAACCGTCATATGAGTTATGTCGAATCGCCTCGTAGGGTAGGACTCACAGCATGTTTCCTGAGTTATTATATGATCTCCCAGAACTTTTCTGGTGCACTGGATCCATCGCCCGGCCTCCTGGATTTCAGTAGGAGCTTCATTCGTAGCTTAATCGAGCGCTTCGTGTTCCAGAAGGTTCTAGACCTAACTTCGGGGATCATGAACCTGAAGTCCATCAAAATTGAACGGAACACCGCGCCCGTATACAAGAACTGAGGAAATGGGTGTGAATGTTGATTTAAAGAAGAAACCTGTTCTCACTTTTGTCAAATACTGTGATGCGCTTTGTATACCACGTATCGGACATCCTGCTCGTTAGTCTACTGATGGTACTCCAGCTTTTGGGACAATCTATGTTTATAATGATTCTGCTTGCTGAGACGGTCTGGCCAGCTATATCTTTGTTCGACGACGTTGGAAGAACCAGCTTAAGTCCTGAGACGTACTATTTCATGAATTCAAACTTCTTTCCCAACTAAATCACTACCAATTACATCATTCTTCAGCTTTAGATGTTTTGTTGTCATTCGTCCAGGCATTCACAGCCCAACCAAAGCCCTCTCCAGGTCCTTTAACCCCTCCCCAACCTCTCTTGCCATGACCCTCACGATCGTATCCTCATCCACAGTTGCGATATACTCCAACACCGTGCATGCGCGTCTCGTGAATTCTTGGGATAGCGGTCCCCCTTCATATGACGTATACGCGCCTGTTTGCCCATCATATATGCCCCTGACTTGGACGCCGCTCCAGGAGCTGCCACCTCGTTCATATGCCTCCTGAGTAAGCACCCGCACGAGAAGCCCGAGAAAGTGTAGCGCCGCGCGTCGGAGTGCTGGAATTTTTGAGGATACGCTCAGGGGGGATATGTCTAGCGCGTCTAGAGGGCGTTCGGGTTGGGATCGGGGTGTTGGAGAAGATTCAGATTCTGCTTGTTCTGTGCTTACTCCTACGTCTGTTTTCATTCTCTTCTCGTTCACCTTAGCTTTCGGATGTGGAATGGGAGTAGCCACAGTCATCTCCACCAACACCAAGTCCAGCATTCCCTCTGCTGTTTCCTTAGTGTATCGTTCCACCACCCGTGCACAGGTGTTGATACATTCGGAGAGCAGGGAAATCGCTGACGTGCGCAAGATGACTGGTGCGCGAGGCTCACGGAGGAGGGAAAGGAGAGGTGGAAGGAGCGTGTCCGCTTTTTTAACACAGCGAGTGATGACAAGATGAGTGAGAATAGGATAAAGAGGCGGGATGAAACTCACCATATAGCCCCAGAACGTCTCCACAGCGCCTCACAACAACTGCGAGGGCTTCACCGATGCGGAGACGTGTGTTAACTGCACTTATTTGTTTGCCCTTTGCCCTGCTCCTCTCACCATCCTTAGGCTTTGCATCCGATTCTGCCTTGTCATCAGCAAGACCCTCCGCCCCCCTCGCATATGCATCCAGAAGCGCTTTCAACACTTCGTTTCCCCCGCCGGACCTGGAATTGGGACCAGGGGCATGCACCAAAGCAGCGAGTCCTTGCACCGCATTCAAAAATACATACGAGTCGTCCTCCTGAATGGCTTGCAAGAATATGGAGAGGATAGCAGGGTGTAGGGCACGTATTGTCGCTTCCTTCTCAAGCCTCTCTCGCTCAATCTTACTCACACGAGCCGGGGAAGATACCAACTCGCGTAGTAAGAGCAATCCGTGTGCTCGTACAGGTAGGAGCGGGTCTTGAAGGAGCTTGAGTGCTTTTTGGTATGTTTCTCGCGGATCTGCGTCAGCATCCTCGCTTCGACTGTTGGATCTACCCAGATTTTTTGGAGCAGACCCCGATACGGCTAACGCCCCCTCTGCCATCCTCGCTGTCAACACTAACTGTGCCTCACGTGTGCTTGGCCGGATCGGCGTGTGCGCCTTGAGAAGGTCGAGGATTTGCGTAAGGGAGGGTGTGTTGTTCGGGGTGAGTGAGGGGTTGGCTGTGTTTTGGAGTGGAGTGATAGTTTTATTTTGTGGAGGAGGAGACATGACAGAATATACATGACATTCACAGTGAGGAATATGATACAGAGACACGGAAAAAGAGAAGTTAGTTCTTATTCTTCGGAATGAGAGACAATGACGAACCTTCCAGTATAGCCAACAACAATCCAACAGCAGTCTCTACCATATCTTCTCCCTCAACCTCCCCATCGTCCTCGTCGTCGCTATCTGGCCCGAATTCCTGCTCCTCTGGTACGATTCTTAAATCCTCCCTCAAAAGACCTTTGGTGTATTCGTTGTTTATGCCTCGATCTGATGTGCCAGATACGGATGCGGAGGAGGGTGTATCAGCTACCTCTAACGCATGCCTCACAAATTCCAACACATCCCTCGGGCGACTCAGGATAGCAGTGTTGTCCAGCTCAGATTGAAAGGCCACGATGAGTTGGAGGAGAAGCATCACTCTGTTCGTCATTTGCATCAGCAGACATGGCTGGGCTGGCATGTTAAGCTTACCGGAGTGGATTAGGTTCCTTCGGATCCATCAATATACTCTGTATTTCTCCTCTGGTATCACTGTCTTGCGTATTATCAGCAGAACCAGATTCCTTTGCAGTGCGATATGCCTCCAGCAATCTCACGAACATGCCTCCTGCGATATCTGCACGATCGAGGTTTTTGATATAGGAGACAAAGTGCGCAGGAGGTGGGTAGAGTCCCAAGTCCAATGATTCTATATCTGTGTCCTCAGTGACGGAGGTATGCCGCAGGTCTTCCGGCGTAAGAAGAGCGAGTTTCTCTTCTCTATTGACCCTGTATCAAACTGGGACTCAGACTTACATGAAGATAAAGTAGCACCAGTGGAACGAACCTCCTTACACGTTTTATATCTTCTGCACTTCCTCCTTCCCATCCTCCTGAAGAGCTTTCATTCTCATCCACTAATGACCACAACACTCGAATTCCCTCGCCCTCCTCTACAACCCGTCCCCATGTCCTCATCAATGACCAAACATCCTCTTTCAGTATTGGATCTGCTACACCCATTTTACTGAGATGTGCATGAAGGGAATACAGAGAAGGGAGAATGGGTGAAAGGAGGGAGGCGAATAGAGAGGGCGATGGGTCGATTGATAGTAGGATGGTGTGAAGGGTTTGGAGGGATGATGATGGGGTAGGCAGAAGGTAGC